ACAAATCAAAAACGGAAAGAGTTAAGATAATAGATGATCGATCAATTAAAAGAACTAAATTTTCTTCACATTTGTTCCGTGCCCTAGCGGTCCTACGTCAAACTTCCGTTCGTGCCCCTAGGCACAGACCCTTCTACTTTTTTTCAAGTTAAATCAGTTGCAATGAAGCTTGCATGTTTTGTTATATCAGCAAAAAATATGGCAATTTGAACTATGGACGATTTAATTTCAGGATGGAACTGAAATGCGATTATTTTGCTAAAATGGGACAAACTGACTTGAGATTGTTTTCACATTTTTTTTATGATCAAAGTTCGTAGTTTTATCACGTAATATGAAAGTAGATGCCAATTGACAGTGGATATATATAGCGTTATTATCTCAAAATTGACGAAAATCTATATGGGACTGATATTTATTTATTTATTTATTCTTATTTCATCTGACTTTTTTCAGTCTTAATGAAATCTAGGATGGGGAAAAGCCTCTTTGAGTAAACTATTCAGTTGGCTCAAAGAGGCGTAAAAACCCCATGTCTTTTCATACATATAACAATAAATAAAATTACAAATAGTCAATACACAGAATACGTTGAATACAAATGAATACAAATGACAAACATATTAAAAGCTAAGTCAATAATCTAAAATAATTAAACACAACAATCTGCAAATGCGTCGCAGCTCACGCGTCGGAGGGTTGGAAACTCGGCGTAGTGTTGTAGAAGGACCATGTAATAAAAAAAACAGCAGGTAATACACACTTTCGAAGTAGCAGTGATTGGACAGATACTCACCGCTGTGCATTGAGGCGGCGTTGAAAAGTGGCAGCAGAAACATTGAAGTCAAATTGTCGACTAACATCGTTAAACCGAGAAGACATTATCCTGATAGGATCGTGCTGACCATAACGGCTGTTCCGGGTAGCAAGGTGCAGGAAATTACGTTACCTCAAAGGTCTTTGCGGCGCAATTCAGCAAGAATATCTGGGGCATCGATTTGATTGGTCATTACCTTAGCGACGAAGATGGCTTGCAAATTGGATTTTCGCATCTCCAGAGTATCGATGCCTAACAGCATACAACGATGTTCATATGGAGGAAGATTTGACGAATCACGCCAGGGTAAGTGCCGAAGAGCGAGGCGCACAAACTTTTTCTGCACCGCCTCGATAGGTCAATCCAGTTTCTGTTGTACGGGCACCATACCAGCACGGAAGATTCCAAAATAGATCGAACCAGTGCACAGAAAAGGGACTTCAGGCAGAGAGGATCACGAAATCCATCAGCAAGCTTAAACATGAAGCCGAGCTGTTTATTGGCTTTTGCAATCACGTCTTCGTAATGCGGTCGGAAAGTGAGTTCGCGGTCCAATATCACACCGAGATCCCTAACCTGATACAAGCGCTCGAGAGTTTGTCCACACATGCTGTAGTTGAAGTTGATTGGTTGCCGCTCCCTGCTGAATGATATTGTGTTGCATTTGGCTATGCATAAATCGAGTAGGTTTCGCGTGTTCCAGTCCTCGAACAAATCTAATAACTTCTGCAACTCCAGGCAATCCTCAGTGCACGTGATGATCATAAAGATCTTAACATCGTCGGCATAGAATATTCGCTTTCCACGTGGCAACACAAAGGCAATGTCATTTATGAATAATGAGAAAAGCAGCGGTCCAAGATTACTCCCTTGCGGTACGCCAGAAGGAATCATAAACGGCTCCGAATGTGACCAACCAAACCTTACTCTCACGGATCTTTCAGACAGATATGATCTAAACCAGCTAACAAGCGCGGAAGATACCCCCAGCTTCTCGAGTTTTTGCAACAGGATATCATGATTCACACGATCGAATGCAGCCATGAAGTCCGTGTATACGGCGTCCACTTGTGAACCAGCGTCCATAGAGCGTATGCAGAGTGAGGTGAACTGAGTGAGGTTAGTAGTAACAGATCGTTTCGGGTAGAATCCATGCTGGGCACATGAAATGTAGTTTTTGGTGGCTTCAAAGAGAGCGTTGTTTACAATTATTTCAAAACACCTTAGAGCAAGCGCTCAAGGACGTTATTCCACGGTAGTTGACGACGTTACATTTGTCACCCTTTTTGTGAATCGGTGACAGAAACGAAGTTTTCCATCCAGCAAGAAATGTTTACTGTTGGAACGAGAGATTGAACAGTTTTACTAACGGTGTCATCAGAGAACTCGAGCAGTTTTTCAACACCGATGAAGGACACGGGTGACACGGAATGTTTGAGCTTACGTAATGCATTTTGGACATGCTCCTCGCTGATCTGGAAAATTCCAAAGTCGATGCTGTCTAGTGGCGTAGCAGGCGTATTTGAGAAGACATTATTGAAGTGTTCAGCAAAGATCTCACATTTACTAGAGGCTGTGCTAGCAAATCGGTCGCCGAAATACATGGACGTAGGCAATCCATCTTCCTTGCGTTTAGTACGAACAAAAGACCAGAACTGTTTGGGATGTAGACGTAAATTTCTCTGCGTACGATCAACGTATCGAGCATACAATAGACGGTTATACCAACAATCAATACGAAACTAACGATTTTAAATTGGCTCACTACTTGCCTAGCCTATTGGTCCCAAGCAAACGATTAACGTATCCCATTCTAGTCGAAATTCTAGTACTACGCAATGTTTGTCTTGATTCGCTATGAAAGTTTGACAGATAAAATGAGGGGTTATTGGTTTTTCCTATGTTTCGAGGGGTGAATCGATTAGCTTGGGACCGAAGAGAGTACCAGAGCTGAGCCAAACGACTCCAACTATACGTTCGAAGTGCAGATCGCCTACGGCGCTTCAACTGGAAGGAGGCTCCTGTTTGTCCAAGGAGGCTTCAGTGGAGGGCGCTGAAGAGGCACGTGAGCTTCAATGACTTGACGTATCTCCGTGTTGAAAATACATACAATATCGTCCAGATCCTGATCAGAATCCAAATATTGCCAATCGATTCTATAATCAACTATAATCATCCCGACGAAAATCGAACCGGCAGTCGTCTAGAGATAGTTCAAATGACACTGGTACCGAAATAGAAACGGTGACGTCAATAGCAGGATGTGGAGTATCGATTTCTACGAGCGATTCAGCCGCTTCGGATACGCAACAGCTTGATAACGCTGAGTCATTCACGAGCACTAAATCGAGAATCCGCGAACTGGAGTTCTTCACATTATTGATTTGTGTCAGACCCTGGAAGCAGAAGGCATCGTACAATGCACAACTAGCATTCGTTAATCTCGATGTATGGGAATCTATTGTGAGGCCACCATCCTCTGATGGTACCCAGTGCATTTCAGGATGATTATAGTCTCTAAACTGGAAAGCAAGGTCATGATGCCTCAAGCCGGAAAGGATTGAATCAATGGAGTCAGTATGCCGCTGTATGAGCGTCAGTTTGTCTCTACAATCACGTGGTAGATAAAGCACTCCAATGCTGACATCATAGTTCTGCAGTTTGATTTTGATCCAAAGCTGCTTGAGAGCATTACTTATCGGAGCTGGGGCAATACAGCAACACAATTTAGAAGAGACGGCTATCAATACACCTCCACCACGAGTTTTTCGACTGTTCAAAGAGCTACGATCTGTCCTGAACACAGTGTAAGAATCGTTGAATAATTGAGTAGACAAGATGCAATCGTTCAGCCAAGTCTCAGTTAGCACGATAACATCATATTCCGAGTCAGTTGTAGCTAAGAAAAAAGAATCTATCTTTGTCCGAAGTCCTCGTGCATTCTGATAGTATATGCGTAGCTCGGAAGTTGTTGAGGAAGGATTGTCACAAACTTCTCGTCCGTTCCTCGGCAGAATGCAATGAATTTGAGTGGGTGTTGCGCTGAAATCCAAATGTTGATCATGAGGAGAATCACCGAGAAAGCACGCATACTTGCCTGAAAAGCCAGGATGGGAGACCCTCGCCCTATGCGATTATAGACAGCACACTCGAGAACGAAATATAGCAAAAAACTAGATCCGGAGCTAACACAAATCATCCACAGCCCTCTGTTTGGAATGTTTACTCAAAATACAAAAAAATACCATGTATATTTTTCCCGGAAAGACCGTAATATAAAAAATCCAATAAAAATACAATGATTTTCATTGTCATTGTAACCATGATATTTATTGTCAAAACATTGGACATTTTTGTCGATTACCATAGAATCATCAAATTTATGGTTCACAACAATGAAAATCATGATATTTGATAAATTTACAGTAAAAAAGGGGCGTTGCTTAAGCATCTTAACAATAAAAAAACTGATTTTTCTAGAACAAAATTAATCTCATCACATTAATTTTCATTGCATCGTTGAAAAACGAATTTTATTTTTTCTCCCGTACAACAATTTAACAATAAATTTTAATGTACTCAAAATTCAGCAGTAAAAAATATTGTAATTTCGTTGTTTTATTAAAAAAAATTCGGGTTTCTCAACAACTTTGTCTCAGACCTCATTTCGATCAGAAGTGACGTTTTCGTGCTACAATTTATTGAAAAATGTCAAACGCCATTTTGAAAAAATACAAGATTCAAAATAACATATTTTTGCAAAAATGAGAATGATTTATTTATTTATTTATTTGTCGTCAATCAGTGTAGAACGTTTTACAATTGTTGTCTTAAGAGCTATTAACAAACAGTTATGCAAAGTTTCATGCAAATCGGCGAAGGTGGAATCAAACATTATTTATTTTCTGCTATTTGGCCTGGAACTACTCAATTAATGTTCATTATGTCGTCAACATATAGCCTAACTTTTAGCAGTGATCGTATTACTACTGTGTTCAACCTACATTCAAACTGTGCATACCACGCATTGCGCATTCATTCATGAAACCTGTCAAAAGCAGTTGCCTTCGAATGTAGTAGTAGTAGATTCATTGCTTTTATACATGTATCAACTTTATCTCTATGCATAGAACCACATCAAATCTTATGAACTGCCTATCTTTATTGAAGTAGTCGAACTGGTTCGAGTTGCAGGTTTGTATGATATTGCAAAGTATGAAAAAATACTCAATTAACTGTTAAAACATGCAGCATTGTAAGCAACTAGGTACCTTTAGATAATCAAAATCAATCTTTTTAGGTTCACAATTCAGGGAAGATGAGTGGCCCTTTGGCAGGACGTTTGGCACTGGTTACCGGTAAGTTCAAGGTCGTTCATATGAAAGAGAAGCTATTATGTAAACTACGGCAGATAGCTTTCATCTATTTGTAGTACAACATTAGAGTAAATTACTAATTCAAGGAAATAGTCTCCCCTGCTAGACAACTACCTATAAAGATCTTATTTATACATTCATCTCCATAATACATTGTAGGTGCCGGATCCGGTATTGGTCGAGTAGTGAGCAAACTTCTGTCTCGTGATGGTGCCATCGTTGTTGCTGTCGATCGGAATGGCAAAGCTGCTGAAGAGACTATTCAAAACTTGAACAGCCAGAGTGATAACAGTGCCTTCGAAATGGATGTGTCTTCCAGCGATAGTGTCTCGAAGGTGCTGGATGCCACCCTCGAAAAGTACAAACGTCCTCCGATGATTGTGGTCAACTCAGCCGGTATCACTAGAGATAACTTCATGCTTAAAATGCCAGAAGAGGACTTTGATGCCGTAATCAATGTGAACCTTAAGGGAACTTGGCTCATGCTGAAGCAATTTGGCAAAGCTATGGTTGACCACAAAGTTAGTGGATCTATGGTAAACGTTTCGTCGATTGTGGCCCGTAATGGCAACATCGGACAGTCCAACTATTCTCCCAGTAAAGCTGGCGTGGAAGCAATGACCAAGGTTGTAGCCCGAGAGTTCGGACGTTACAATATTCGCGTGAACGCTGTTGTTCCCGGATTCATCGTAACTCCAATGACCGACTCGCTGCCACAAAAGGTGAAAGACATTGTCGTCATGCAGTGTGCCTTGAGACGTTTCGGAAGGCCCGAGGGTATGTTTTGCTTTTGATGTATGAAATGTGAGGGAATTAAAATGGTTTTGATTTCAGAAATTGCTGAAGTGATTGCCTTCCTGGCTTCGGACAAGAGTAGCTATATGAATGGTACGTCGGTTGAAGTGACTGGAGGATAATCTCGAACTTATGATTGCTAAATACACATCCTGATCGGTACATCACTCAGGTTAAACAAGGTTGAAACAGAGCATTTAATTATGGTTGCATTTACGTCGAATTGTTAAAGCATTTTAATGTATATTTACAATGTAAAATAAAGCTGTATTTTGTAAATTGTAACTCTTGTCTGGCTAATTGGATTACGACCTTAGGTACTAAAAAACAGTTAACCATCATAAGTTGGTATAAAACTAAGAGCTATGGGAGATTTCTAAAAACACGTCTAAAATTGATTTCGTTTATTTTGGAGATTTTCAGTCGTACGCTGGTTTATATCCGGAGCTAACCCATCTATATAACAATTTAGGTAAATGACGCTTTTGCCAATACTATTACCCAGGGCTGCAAAGCTGGATCGGAGTCGGAGGCATTTATGGTAGAATACGGCCTCGTAGTCACGACAATGGTGTATTTACCAATGGAATATAAAGAATACCTCTGATTTTGACCACAGATACATATTCTGAAAATCCCTCCTACTCCGATTCGACTCCGCAGCCCTGCGGTGCGCGGATACATGATGTAACACTTCATGCAATGAGTGAGTAATGACTTTTCTTTATTTACCCCCTGAAGATGTGGCAGAAGCCCCATCATAAATTCAAGGCACTTTTCTTTTCAGTTCACGAAATAACAAGTCGATATTACGAAAAACGAGTAATTCACTTGCAACAACAATTAAAACTACTTTAACATACCATTATCGCTCATACTTCCCTACAGGTATGGTTGCCATCCTTGGAAGAGTTGGCACAAGTTCAGATTGCTGGAGGCAGCAAAAATCAGTCTTTCCACTTGTCCCTCTACCGAAGTAAACTTTTCATCTTCCTTTCCATTGAGTTTATCGCTTACGCGAAGCAGCGCACGTTCTGCACTAATGTTCACCGCATCCTTGTGTTCTGCATGGACTCCGCCCTCTCCGCCGTACAATTCTGCAATCTGCTTCCGAGCAGCTTTCTTATTGGCCAGCACATTCCACGTGTACAGCGGATCGTACAGAAGCACTTCCAAAATTGTCATGATTGGCGCATGGTTGTTTCGTAGAATTTCAAGCGTTTTCTCGCAGGATCTGTGGAAATTAGATAAGTAGGTATATGTTATTTTAAATTGTCTATTCATCCGGAAAATAGCACTTACTTTTTAAATACTCCTTCGATGCCGCTAACACCCATTCCGGCCACAATGTCTCTGGTAAGACGGAACGGAATCGTTTCAGGGGTAGGCAAATTTTTACCCAACTCAAAGGCGATACCAAAGTCAATATGGATTACTTCGGCGGTATTCTCATCAACCAAGATATTCTGTACGTGTCTATCACCAATGCCCAGTATGTAGCCAATCATAGACGATACAGCCACACTCTTGGTGTAGGCAAGTCTTCGTTCAAACCACATTCCCGAGGTTAGGAATTTCTCGAAGAAAAACTGTTGAAAAACTGGACTCAAGTGTTGGCAGATTTTGTGGAACTTTTCCTGCTTTGTTCGCAGAGAAGACTTAGCCAGTTCAGCGAAGGCTTTCCTAGCTTCCAATGCGCTCATATCCTTAGGTCGGTAGCGAGAATGTGCAGGAATGAGCCATGAACCAATAGGAACCGTGTTCGAACACCATTCAAGTATTCCGCTCTGCTTGGATAGCGGGACGACCTTGTACGCACGTACGTTGAGTTTCTGTTTACCGGCTTCTTTATCGTTCCGCAGTAGCACATTAAGGATGCTGAATACCTGCTGCATAACAGCGTCCTGTCTCATATCGTCCCTACCCTTCAACAACTGTATGCGGCTCTGACCATCCATGCAATGACACACTACCTTTTTCGGAGCGTTGATTCCACCGACTCCATGTATCTGATCGTCCCATTTGTGTACACCTTTAAACAATTAATATGAATTATGTACCACTTCAATTAGAGATTTCAATGTCTAATTTACCGATTATGCCATCATAGACACAACTTTCTTGAACTTTCAGCTCAACTGTAGAACAATGTACCTTATCGAGCTCCCTGCATCTTTTCAGAGCGTCCTTTGAAGTCATTTTATAATCAGTGAACCCCTTGGCCCCTCCCAGCGTTTTATTGGCCATCTCTATGAATGCCAGATTCATTTCGGTCGTTTGATCAACAATATCTGAAATTTTCTTGTTCTTTAACAACTTGTTGTACAGCGATTGAGCCCCAAGCAGTCGTTCATCGTCCGTCGGAACGCTATAACGAAAGAAACCAGTTTAAAAAAAAAACGTAATACAGCAACATTTCATCAACCCATACTCTTTCAGTTCAACATCGGCAAAAGCGTAGACCTGGGCCAAAATATGCGGCAGAGTGTGATGTGGATGATCGACGGCACATCGTTCCAACGTCTCCCAAACCATTCGCCCAACGCCGTCTTTACGATTATCCAAACGAGGGGCAAGTTGAGGCAACACCGGTACAAACTTATACGTCGGAACGACCTTCAAAGTTTCGCTAACGGTATTGGCGATCTTCTCACTATGATTCCCCAACCAAAGGGCTACGATCCGGAAGACAGCCAGATCGCTTTCGATGCTCGTCTTCCGAGTATACGCCGAGTAGTAGAACAGAGCCAGCTTGAGATAGTCTTCCATGTTGGACATCATAGTGTTAATTGACTCTTCGTCGCGTGCAGCGTTTTGCTTCGTGGAAACCTTTGCCCTTCGCAGGTTCGTTAGTTTCTCCTTGTCCGACTCCTTGAGCTTGGCCTGCTCTGCTTCCAGCATCACTAATTCAGCCTTCAACTGTTCCAGATTAATTTTCTTCATCTTGAACTCAGTGGAAGTAAAATGTTTCTTCAGCTGGAAGATTGATGCGCAAGAAGTGGATAATAGAAGGTAAAGAAGGATATTGACCAAGATTTAATAATCGTATAATTTGAACGTATTCTTTGCCTATAGCATGCTAATTGGGATATTTCGCCACATAGTGTTTTTTGAGCACTTACATAGTACCCTAGAGCAGCGCTGCCGGTGGATGCAAAACTATCCCATGTGGGGGAGTGGGGGTAGGGGATTGGCGATTGTCTACGGTCCATACAAATACAAAAAAATACATAGACAATTGTCTCAAATCCCAAAAAATCGTCTACATAATTTATGAACAGCCCCTAGAATAGCTGATCGCGAACGGATAGGACCCGATGTTTACGCTTAAACGCTGTCCTGAAACCCTCCAAATAATCATGAAATTACCCAAATAGCCGTTAAAACTTCAAAGGACCAACAATAAGTTCTAATAATCAAAATGATCTCGAATAGATTTAAAACGCAACGCAAATGGTCTAGAATAGATTTAAAACGCAAAAATGGGCCAAAAATCACTTAAACGGCCTGACAATCTGAAAACGTAAGAATGATCCTTAAGTCACTAAAAATGATCCAAAAAAGTTAAAATGGCCTACACTGTTCAAACTGGCTTTAAAATGGCAAAAAGACCTTGAAATTGGGGGAGGTTGTTCATTGAAACTTTCGGTCCGCTTCGTAGCATAGTGCTTGCTAAGAGGTGCCAGGTGGTAACCCACTCATTACCTGACGATCGGCCAAATTTGGAAGACGTCTGCATTGAATTGTCTCACATTGTAATATTCCGCCCACTATATCACAATCAATTGCGAGTAGCTGAGCGGAATGGAGACAAGGAAAGCATTTGGTACAGGACCAAGTCTCGCCAAAACAATGAACTTGGAAGCAACTGGATCAAGTTGTCTTGGGGCACGAAATGATCCTGTTGCATGACTTGGAGCTGTTGCAATCGAGGAAGGGGGGGTTGGTACTAATGTTTAATTTGTTTTTGTATAAATTCAGGTGTTAAGGTGGTTCGCTGCCTCTGGATAGTGTGTTTGACGGTGGTTCAGCAAGAATAATATTGAGACATACGGGAATGCAACAAACGTGTCAAATTAACTGCAGTGGTAACGAAAACACAGAGGAGCGTACACCTGATGTCACACACTAAGGTGATGGTAATAAGGTCGGTTATAATATGACATTTACACAAAAGCGGAGATCAAATCATATTGGTCAACGTACCAAAATTCGAAACTTCGATTAAAACGTGGAATCTGTGCAGCACCAGTGGAGAACACTCAAAAGCTGCAGGTCTCATCAACCGCTGCCTGCGATATATAACTTGTGGCTGGTGGCCTCACAAATGGATCTCAGATGTAAATGTCATCAGAAGCCGATAGCAACAGAAACGAAGTCTGCAGGCAAGCGTTTGATTATGAATTAAATCCGCCCAGAACATCGCAGCAAAGGCCCTTAGTAGGCGGAGCGTCAATAAAGAAATTAAGCAAGCCGTTAGGAATTTGATCTAGGTCCAGGTCAAGCAGCTGCCCAGAATGGAAGTCTTTCACGTTGGCCCTGTGCACCTCTGGAGGTTCCCAGGTATTTGAGTACGACGACGATGGACGTTGCCCCTTGGAACGGAATGAAAGCGAACAAACCTAATGTTGCTCTATCTCTCTTCTTTATTCTTTTATTCTCTTACTATCCCCTAATCGGACGCTAGTTGGACCAAAAAGCCTGCTAGTGAAAGGAAAGTCGTTATGCTATACGGTCTAGCATAGGCCACGACTAAATTTCCGTAGGTTCATGCTTGGCTTAAGTGCAGATCGATAGGCAGCAGCCTGCCAGGGTGTGAACTGAGCAATAACAACAATAACAATAACAAAAAAAGACCTTGAAATTACAACAACGGGCATTAAAACATCAAAAATAACCAATTAATCACAAAACTGGCATTGTAAATCCTAACTGATTTTGAAACGGGAAGATTTTGTCAAGACTTGATAAGTTTAAATCAAGGTTGCAAATACTCATTTCAGCTAAAATAATGTTTTTCGGAATAATAAAACCAAAAGATGGTATGATGACATGTTTTACTTGCAACTTACAAGAAGAGGTTACAATGTATGTGTTTGAAACATAAAATCTGTATATTTTGCTTTCTATGAGTCACAATCAGCGATTTGCTGATCGCTGAGTGAGTGAGTGAGTGAGTATGTGAAAAATCGCTGTTTTAGCTGAAATGAGTATTTGCAACTTTGGTTTAAATTAGTATAAAAGGTTTTTAGGGCTTAGATCTAATTTTGGACCTACTAAGCAACATCCGTGCTTTGCCTCTATTTTCGAGTGGATTTTTTTTTTCACGAAATGGAATGTTTTCACTGCAGATGACTTCTAAATTTATTTACTTTTCCGTACGTTCCGTAAGATTTGCTGGTTGGAGACGAACCTGCACAGGGCTTAAATCTCCTTAATAAATATATAGAGTTAACTTTCCAATTTCCGGCCTATTAAGCACAACCCGCACTTAGTCTTTCTTAATCTAGCGCAGTTTAGCACTAAACGAATGTTATTATTACTGATGGCTTCCAAATTTATTTACCTTTCCGTATGTACCGTAAGATTTGATAAAGAGAAACCAATCGTTGAGATATTGTCAACAGTCTAACACTGCTTCTTGACGCCAAACTCGGCCTACGGATTCTAAACTCGGCAACTCGGATGAAGATAAAAATTGATTTGGTCGGAGCACTTCTTTTGTTGTTGGGAATAATGGGTGCAAACCTTCATATCACGCGCTCTCATTGACTTCGTTCCGTAGCTTATTAACTAAAGCATCGTACCAAACGCATAATTGACTTGTTAACTCTGAAAACATGGATAGGCCCAAAGTGGGCGATTAGGCCGAAGTAGTGCTCTACCCTACTGTAGATCAATTGCAATTATCCCAACATTATTTTAAGTTCAGATATATTTTGCACGAATTGTTTTAGAACATATATCATATTACATTTTGCCACCTGAGGGCATCCCGTCGATTGAGCAACGCTGCCCTAGAGAAACCCCTCAGGGTTCACCAAAAAAATCTAAACTACGTTACTAGGGGAGTCCCCTTCAGGGGCTTTCGGAGATGAACCAGCCTACGGCTGAAAATCTCCTAAATAAAGAAAAAAACGCAGCCCTAGAGAGTAGAGATTCGGCATACCATGCTGGAGGCGACGGGTTTGATCCACGTTCGGTCCTGGAATGTTGCATGATGGAAAATTTGTCAACTTCTCTGAGCATAGTACGTCATTGTAGTTTATGAAACAATATGCGAAAGCAAAAATGGTTCATGATAAAAAGGATGCTGAAGTACTCAAAGAACATTAGGAGGGCAGGTGTAAATTTATAATTGGGACGAACAAAAAAGCGAGAAATAAATAGATCTACATAACTTACCCTGACGAATTCTCGGTCAGCATATTTCGCCACCGTATACAGGATAACGAAATTTCGATCACTATCCAAACACTTGCTTTGATAGTCAATAGCATTGACCTTGTCCTGCTGGCTAGCCTGTTTTAAGCCTTCCTCCACCAGAGTTTGGGAATGTTTGAAAAATTTCTTATACAAATTGTGAACATCTTCAGCGTAAGTTTCCGCCAAAAATGTTCCGTAGATTCGATAAGCCGCAGCATTCACCATCAGATCCTTGCATTTTCCACCGGCCACGATCTCGTTTACCAGCCTCTTCGATAAGAATTTATCGCCGTTAGCCCAATTTAACTGCGCATCTTCCAGCATGACTAGTGCCTTCACATTTTCCGTCAACGTCTGTTGCGACATGGCACATATGTTCGCCGAAGCAACGTCGGAATGGCCACTGATGCGGGCCTCGTGGATCAAGTGGAACAATGCTTGATGGAGCGCATCGGGAACCCATTTTCGCATTGCACGAACCCGTGCCGTTTTGAGAATAGCAACCCTTTGCGATAGAATGGCCTCCATAAATGAAAAATCACTGTACGGTAACCTGTCATGATGGTCCCATTTTTGCAGCAGCTCTGTCTCCCCATCAATGACGCGATAGAATTGAACATTCATAAAATCTTCGATTTGCTGTAGCTGTCGCAACTTGCTCAAGTATGGATAGATGTTCTGCGTTGATTCCATACTAACGACTTTCAGCATTTCCGCTACTGCCTTTCGTGCCTCGAGGACAGCACTATCCGTTGCTGTCTCGTCTTTCAGATCCAAACTTTTGAGAGCTTTGTAGTGCTGTTTGTCAAACACTTGTTCCCAATCCATATTTCGTTTCGATTGATCCATCTGGTCATCTAGTGCCACATTCCAATCCGCCAATCGCCATGCGCACTCAAAGTCTACATTATCTCTGTTTGCAACCATATTTGCCAATCCATAGAAACAAGATGCCTTCAAAGTGCCTACGTATGCCGACCTCTCGAACGGACTCTTGCTAGTGCTGGCCACATCGTAATACAGCAAACTCTGACTGTATTTTCTCTCAAGTTGATAGTACTCGCTTCGGGAAGAAATCGGATCGAGAAATGCTTTCGCTGCATCTTCAATTCCAACAGCCAAATGGGCGGCTTTCATGATGCTCATTAGCTGTGGATCACGTTTGATAACGTCATTATCAACGCCTTCATCTCGCTGACCTGTACACCAGAGCTCACCGTACATGATTGCTTTGAAATATGCTTGACAGAAGAGACTGGCCGATGCAATCTTCAACCAATTGAGGTTGATTTTGTGCTTGGGATGACTGAAATTCAAGAAATTGTGATCAGGTAGATTCGTAACAAAAAAAAAATCTAAGCATAATTACTGTTGATTGTTCATCCGAACGCACTCAACGATTGCTAGCATCAGATGTATGGCCTCCCGGTTTTTAGTTATGCAATTAACTGGTGTCAAACTGTCAGTGAATTTCACGAAGAAATGGTTTACCTAAAAAGATATTAGCTATTTGCTGATTGAAATTATGATTTCAAAGGCCACAAGATCTTACAAAACTTTCAATATTTGTATTAAGATTTCCATCCTTTAGACACAATACTATTTGGACCAGCATAGGGACCAGCTTTGCTGCAAAATTGGTCTGAAAAATATAATTCATAACAACTGTGGTTATGCACATCATTTTATTGCATTTTTCATTTACCTCAATATCCGTAAGAGCCTTAATCACAGTGTCCTGGAGCAATAGTAACAGTGCAGATGATAACGCAAGCACAAATGAGGCATAGCTAGGCCCAGTATTGATGGTTTCCAGCAATGAGCTTAAGTTCGTGTTGTCCGATGATCGTATGAAAATTGGACGATCATTCTCGGCGAGTGTCATATATGGATACAAGGCTCTCAGATTGACTGCAAGCTTTCGGTAGTGACTGTTCTTCAAAACATGATAGCACACGGTCGCTGCTTTCTGAACGATATTTAAGTCCTTACTCACTACTAATTCGTTAAGCTGCACAAGCATCACCCGCACAACCTGTTCAACTGCGGAGTCTGTATCCTTGAGGTTCTTATAAATTTCTGTTTCAATGTCCGATTTTAGCAACATTGTCGATAAATCAACCGGTCCTATTTCACCAAGACATCGCAAGGCCTCGATCATCTGTTTTTCATTGCCACTATTCTGAATTTCTTTCAAAAGTGTGTTGATCAAGCACAGTACAGCATTACTTCCACAACTCTCCGAAAATCCATCCGATGATCCCAGTTCATTACATATATCATGCAACTCAGCCTTCTTGGTAGCCAATAAACTGTACAAGGTGGTCAATTCGCCGTACTTAAGTTGCGGAAGCTGAATAATGCGAAAGATATCCTCAGCTAGGGTTAACTGGAATTGTGATTCCTTCAATTTTTCTAGTGCTTCGCGAAGATGCTTGAAGTCACCGTGATCCGGGAAATAATTCAACTTTTTTATACCGTCTCCGAACAGGGATTGGTGTTCCAATACAATCAGCTCCAGTATGTTAACAACCTTGCCAGCGACTTTAAATGATGAACTTTGATCGTGTACCGACATCAGCGAAGACGTTAGAAAGTTCAGATGTGGTCTCACATACTCGGCACATGTCGGAATAATCTTGGACAGAAACTTCATCAAACAATTCAATACGGGTAACTGCAATGACCGCGAAGAGACCATCGTATTGCTCAGGAAGTAGCAAATATCTCGGGTTAAGTATTCTTTCAAATCTGCCGAACGGTGTTGACAGAAGTAGTCTACTAAATGGTCGATCAACATGGAATACTGGAAGAGCAAGATCATCTTCTGTTCGGTAACGTCCGATTGGTAGATCTTCAGCTTGAAATGCAGCAGAAGCTGCTCGACAACGGTAGGATATTTGCTACAAATATGCGTGAAAAGTGGTTGCCTCGAGGTAGTACAAAGCAGGGTTTTGAAGTGTTCTAGGCATTTTGTAAAGTTTCCAGCGTTTAGAACACACTTGTTCTCTACTACAAGGATCTCACGGCCAAAAAGTTCCCCCATTAAAGCTTCATCTTGTAGATATTCGACAATCCGTGGCATAAGCAGCTGATTTGATGGATCCTTAAGGTTAAGGTGCTTTATATCCACGTGGTTCATGATGATCGTTTGTATTCTATCTGCTATGTGGATGTAATTTTCTGGCATATTGTCACAGTTGGCCCATTTTGGAATGAGAAAAGCAATGCATCGAGAAGAGATCACCTGCAACGAAAAGATTAATCATGTAAAAGATTAAACATGAGCTTCAAATTAGTTTGATTCAATTGATTTTGTTAAGTACTAAGCCATTTCCCGCCCAGAAGTTTATTCATCGTTAAGATAAAAAATTGCTTTAAAACAAAACCTGTTCTATTCAGCCATTCGTATATATCCTAACGTGAAATCGGAATCAATCGAGAATCGGGTCAAAGGTTGTGTACAGTGCGATAATCCTATTAAGGTTGTACAGCTACTCAAAAAAGGATCTGACATCAGCCGTATGAGCTTCATCACGTGCAAAGTCGGATTGCCTCCCAAACTGCGCGAAGTTGCTCTAATATCGGATACATGGCCGAAAGGAATTTTGTTCCGTGAATTTTAAGGCGGTTCAAAAAACATGTGGATGCTTCGTTTGAACACGCCTACCATAACGATCTTTCCTGTTCCGGGACCTTCCGAGTTCTCAACTCCAATCTCTGGAATAGACCCAGTATGCTGATTCAGAACTAGATTCCGCGTTGTGAATTGGAACGCTGTAAACCAGAAAGCACTACCTGTCGCTTTATGGGAGACCTCGAGCCACTCGATCCAGTCGCGCTTGCTGTTTCCCGCCATTAAAGTCGTTCTATTCCCTGCCATCAGCGTCGTTCTGGACCTACGGTCGAGTTCGGTGGTGGGTTCTCCCAACCATCCTCTTAAGGCAAATATGCATACCTACATTAGTTAACGAAATTGGCCTGATCAACTTCCGTGTTCCAGTGCAACGCCTCAAGCATCTGCCGGTTGTTTCCAGTTGAGAACCACTTCTGATACTGCTCATTTACAACATCCGCTTTACTGTTCGAACAATCCTAATTCATCTCCACTCTTTGGAAGCGCCTGGTTCCACCAGCCAAGTCGTGCCAATTCTTGCTAGCACTCAGCATAGTCTTCCTGGACCTGCGGCTGGATATGGATCAGGAGTCTTGCAGCTTGCCTCATTGTGTCATTGTGATTATGTCTCTATAACTCCCAATCCTGGGAACCCGAAATGCACCGTAGAAAGCCCTATGGAAGCCCCCAATCCCGGGTACACGACGTTAGGCATACGGACATTAGGCATAATGGATGTAAGGCATAATCTACCCGATGAATTCCAGAACGATGATAATGGGGACCGTCTATTGATTGTTGACATCGGTGACAATAATGAAAGAGGCTTAATTTTTGGGAAAACTTGCGACGTCTTGGACAGGCAAAGTATTGGGTTGCAGATGGTACGTTTGCCACAGTTCCTTGTTTGGCAACTCGTCACTGTTCATGGAAGTATCGCTCCCTCACATCAGCAGACGGTTCCGCTAGTTTTCATTCTGATGACAACAAAAACAAATTCGTTGTATCGAAAAGTATGGGAGGAAATCCTGGAAGCAGTAGGTATGCTTTTTGTTATTGAATGAAAAACCACAGAATTCACCATTCTTCATTTTATTAGTTGTTCTTTGGCATCGTCTTTTATTCAACCATAGTTGTTGTTTTTTGATTGAATGAAAAATCACAGAATTCACCATTCTTTATTTCATGAACTGTTCTTTGAAAAATACCTTTTCTTCTTTGACAATTGCAATATGTGTGTAAGAATATATTACAACAAATGTGTGATTTTTTTTATTTATATAGTTCAAAACTATGCAGAGTTTTCATTGCCAGATTTCTTAACCGCTATCGCTGCTAATATTGGACCTAAGCAAATATGTAGCTAAGTAACTTATGATATGATAAATAATGGATTCCAAACTGTGCTTATTAAATAAACTCATGGTCAGTTATTGCCTGATGTATCTGTGATTTCCAGGGAGAACAGTCGTTTGATTCCTTGCCGCAAGCAGGACGTCGTGATCTTCTACCGAAACGCCAGTGAAATGAGCTCTGATGTTGAAGAGTACCGCCGAGCTGTATCGGATCGTTGATACGATGTAATAGTCCTGTGCGAAACGTGGCTCGATTCTCGAACACTTTCCAGTCAAGTCTTCGGTCCTGGTTACGGTCTTTCGTTGCAATCGGAATCCTAACAACAGCGTTAAGGCAAAGACAACAAATCAAGAAGACTGGCAACTCTTCCATTTTCTCATATGAACGCTATGCGACAGGTACTAAAATCGCGTCATCTGCCGCTCAAAGGTAAATGCTTTGAACGAATTAGGTAGCAAAGATTACATCCTCAGAAGAAGGGTTTGTGTATTTGCTCATTTTTCTATGCGTTGTTTCCACCTTCACTTAAGCGCAGCGCTATTGTAAGGGGAAGTTTAACGCTCCGAAAAATATAATTACGTTTCGATTTTTCTAAAAATATTGGAAAAAGATATCAGAAATCTAAAAAAAATCACATTTTTCTAATTTTCTAAAGGAAATTCACGTGCAAAAAATGTTTTTTTAAAACATCATGGCATAAACATCGACTTTTCGGTTTTACTGAGAGTCCATTTTCGTGACGAGATAGAAAAAATATGTTTATATGTAATTTTTGTCAAGAATCTTAGGAACTCATTTTCTTGGATTTTTGATAATTTTTCCTAATATTTTTAGAAAAATAAAAACGTGCTAAAGCAAAAAAAATCCCCTTCCTCTTCCCCTTAAGTATACTGGTGGAGGTGTCCTTAGCTATCGGTGGCGGGTTGGATGCAAAGGCTATCGAGAACGATTCATAGAACAATGTGGAGCAGGTTTGGACAGCCATTAATCTGGGTGATCGCACACTATTTCGATGTGCTCTGAAATATTATAAAAACTGCTTATTCAAAAAATATACATCGGGGACCGTGTACAGCAAGCAACACCACTCTACTACTTCTCTCTTAGATGACCACGTTGGTCATGACGAGAGAAGCAAACCAATAGTTAGAAGAGTTGTATTATAACACACCATTGCCTGGAAATACTTTCGGCAACGTGGGAGGTTAGGTAATGATAAATGCCGCTTGAACTATTCCACAGTCGCAGACAGTATATGAGCAAGTCAAACGCACACTTTTTTGCCTGTGGATTTGAGGACACCCTCAAATACCCTCATCGATTAAAGTATGAGTTAAGTAAATAAGTGCGCATTTGATTAGTATTGTCGCATTAATGACCCTTCGCTCAATTTCAACTTCTGTTAAATTTTCACACTGCCGTACTCTAGCGGAACTATCAATCTATCCTCTTCAGAACTTTTTTTTCAATTGAATTCAACTGAGTTGAGCATTTGACTTGCCTAGTCTAAACCCAGCTTTACACTCGCTGCTGATGATGAAAAGCACAACGAAAACTGTGAAGACTTCTGCAGTACGATCATGAGGAAAAGCGAAACGACAGAAGAAAATGAATACAATGCCTACGCATTCCAAGTTCGTCTCGACAGGCGCAACTGTGTGAGTTACAAACCAAGCAGGCAACATTAAACGGAAGCAGTTTATGAACAGGCCCTTACTCGACTAGCCTGCATTTGTATTCTTTCAAATTCTGTTTCCATTCCCCCTTTTTTTTTGACGAATGTTGATGAACTACAATACCAAAGATGATGACTGCACCCGGAAGTTGAATTAATCTAGTGGATTCTATAAGAACCCACTGAACCAAACACCACCAATTTGAACAATTGATAATAAATCAGAATTTTACTCACCTTGATCACGTCCGCTTGACTCCGTTTGATGTTATCGCAAAACTGTTGCAAATCCGCTGGCCTATTCGATAGTATGGCGAAAGCAATATCGTACTGATATTTCTTGATGAACTCAGCCAATGATCCACATTGAGTAAAGTACCAAGGGAAACTGTAGACGAAAAATCGTATTATTAGAACTACAGAAATCCTTGCCAAATAGGTACATTAACTTACGATATAAGTTTGTAACCCTTAGAGATCCACATGTCAAGAATTTCTTCCATATGTTCCTGAATCAAGCACGCAGAATCGATGTTTGTTGCTGTTCTGAGCAACTTTGTGATTGTGTGGATGGTGTCTAAAAATGGACAAATCGCTTAAAATTTTAAAAATTGACAACCTCCATTCATACTCACGTTGCGGTAAATTATTCACACATGCCTGTTCTACAAGATTAAGTGTGGCACGCTTCCTGAGAGAGTAGCTTTTGCAAACCGTTCCACATATCAGTTGAAGAAACGCTGATAGTAAGCTTTCTTTCTCGTCCTTACGCAACAAATCCTGAAAACAACAAATATATGTTATGAATCTACTTAGAATTGGAAACGTACCAAAAGTACTAACATCCATTTCAAACGGAACCGAGTTGTAGAGCTTCAACTGGAATCGGTAAAAATCAGCAGTTACTGCGTCTGCCGAGTAAGCCCACGAGTCATCGAACAAGTAGAGCAAATTTTCCACAGCACTAGCTTTGATAGCGAAATGTGAAGCTCCAATCAAACTAATCATTCTCATGTAATACTGCTCGTGAGATTCATAATAATCTGGATAGGCCTTAAGCAGATACTTCACCTGATCATAGATTTTACGCTGCAAGCCAACGGAATAGCTTCTCTTGTTGGCCTTGCGAATGAACGACAGCAGAACCATATTGATATCGTTGTAAAGTGAATCATGTGGGCTGACGAAGACAACCAGTTCTGAGTAGAGGTCTACAATCGCTTCGGTCATGGCGTTGTTAGTATGATGGTTTATGCATATTTCTTTGATGTACGACAAAATCCATTCTGCACAGAAGAAGGTTGATCGTTGCTTCAGTAGTACTTTGCACAATCCAAATATGTGGAACAAATCTAAACTGCTATTGACATTGAATTGGATCTGGTCCAGAGAAGTCTTCACTTCGTTGGTGTTCACACCGTCGTACTGCATATAATGTACCATGATCAAAAGAAGATTGTGCAGATTAGATTGTTCTCTGGTCAGTGCTTCGTACTTCAAAGCTTCAACCGTCGTGGAATCTTTGTCCGGAACATTTCGAACGTTCTTAAAAATCCAGTTGAACAAGCTTGTGAAGTTACTCACTTTAAGCAGCTCGTTTATACGTTCGTCATACGGACCACCAAAGATTCTCAGCAGCCTGGAAGCCATCCCGTTCAATTCTACCGCCGTCAATGTTCTCAGACGCTCGAAACCGAGTTCCATTTCCTGTACTTTGAAAGCTATTTTCTTCGTGATCAGGCACTTTTCAAACGAATCCTTGCCAAGGGCGCGATGTGACAGGAGCTCGTTCAAAATTTCCATATATAACTCAACATCACCGATAATTTGGTTCAATCCTTTACCCAGAGCGTCATTATCAGCAGGAAGTGTGTGCTTTTCAAAGTTAAGTGATGTGCAAAGAATCTCGAAGTTTTTCTCGTGAATATTGTACATTATTTTAGTAGGTGTTGCATCCACATGTTGCTTGTTAGGCGTCCTGATAGCCAGTATTTTTTCAACGCTTTTCAGCAAAATATATTCTTCGACCTCGTGGATGATCCTATCCGTCTCGATGTATTTTCTTTCTAATTCGATGTGTGCTTCTGCACTGTTATTCACATTTTTGTCGTCATTCGAATGATGCTTGGTTACACAGCAATGAACGGAAATATTCGCCAACAGCTTCATGTCCAACATTTCCTTATTGTGAAGGATTCCCTTAGCCAGAGACTCACGCGATTTTGGAAAGAGATAGTTCAGTAGCTTCTCAACGACCTCTTGGACATTGCCAATGGCTTCCAACGGAACAATCTCCAGAATTGTCTTTATCGTACCGACATTAGTGTTCGTGCGTTCGATCGAGTACGTGTAGAAGGCTTGCAGAATTCCGTTTAGAAACGTAATGGATGGATACTTCCGGTTGGAAATCAATAGTTGCAAGATCAAATGATTATCGGCAGCTGATTTGTTGTTGGATGTGCAACATCTAGAAGAGAGAAGTAATATTACATTACAACAAATGCATCCCATGCTGATGGGAAAAGGTTTGCAAATTCTTCGGTAAATTTAGTCACATTCTATTCCAAAAACCAGTGGCGTCCCGTAACCTCACTTTTTACTTGGGCACCAACTTTTAAACTCAGATTTAATGCCATATTCATACTCGAATCGGTTAAAAATACACTTAATGTTCTAGTATCTATCTCGATATCTATCGATTGCAAGCAATATTTTGATATTTTTTTATGTTTTGAGAGTTGGTGCACATGTAAATTGAGGTTAAAGAAACGCCACTGCCAAAAACGAATTAAAAAACTAACAGAAAAGAATTACTACAGAGCCTTAGAATCAAAAGTAGTGCAACCGAAGTAGTAGTTCACTCGAAAAAAAAAAGTTCAATAACCTGTAACTTTTCAGGATGTGCATCAACATTTCTGAAATCTCGGCTGAAATCAGCTTCGATGGATAAAAGTAGCTTTCTTCGTCGTGAACGGATTTAGTACACTTTAGTTTAAATGATTCATGCTTTGACTACAAATGAGAAAAATTTCGACTAATTTGGATCATTCGACAGTGAGCATGCATACGGGCCTAACTAAGGAAACCTCACAAATCCCGAAACCCGCACACAAAAAAAACCCACAAGAACAGAATCCAAATACAATAGAGAAAAAAAAAGATAAGTGATAATTTGAAGTAACTAATAACTCTATACTATAATAACAAAAAGAAAAATAATAATGAACTAGGTACCAACGTAAATTTAAAAAAAGATCTGATAAGAAAAAATTAAAAATAGGTACACTGAACCAATAAGGAACGTAAATTTCACCTGAAAATTCAGGTAACTTCTCAAAAATAGCAATCCAATAAGAATCACCTAATGCATATGAAATTCAATGACATGGTAATAAATTCCATTAGATTGACTGGTCGAAGTCAAGTGTCATACTGGTGAATGTTATGTGAAATTCACGTAAATTGTACGTGATCTCTTGGTGTGAAAATTATCGTTGCATATTTGTAAGTTCAAAATGACGACAGAAAAAAGTGTGAGTTCGTTGTTGTTGTTAGGTGATTTAGGATTCCCAGACGGTCTTTTTGAAGTTTTTGAGCGTAAGTGTAATTAATTTATAATTGAATATTCTGTAATTCATTGTACTATGAATTGTAGAGTGTGGAATCGGATTATTTGAGCTCCTCACAAGCTCATACAAAGACCTACAGGAATGCTTACAACAAGCGGACGTAAATTGGAATTATGATGTCCTCTTCGAGCTTATCGTTTCCTGGAGAAACAGAAATGTAAGTGTCTAAATTTTATGATTTTACAATAAACCAATAAATAACCCATTGCAAATTCCCGTTTTTTATACAGAAAGCAGCGCCAAGCCAAGCCTTGAGAGTATTCCCGGAAGTGAATATCTTTGTGACACCCTAGAAGTCGTTCCAGGAGTTGAACATCGTACACCATATTAACGGTCTTTATATGTATAGAATTAAGAATAGGTTTGATACAGATTGTAGTAATTAAGAAATAAACTAAGCTTAATACGCTAATTAAATGTAGCAAAAATCCAACTAATGAAGTTAACTTTTATTCAAATCTACGTGAATTGTTCTTTTATGGCTTGCTTTTGGTCAAAAAGAACATTTTACTAGAATGCATTGAGGCCTATTCTGTGCCGCGAGTGAGGTGAGGTAACAATAGTCACCTCATGTGAGGTGGCTCTCCGAGTACATCAACTAAAGAATGACCTCACATAAACTGACTTCACTAGTGACAGCGAGTCACCTCACCTCACTCGCGGCGCAGAATAGGCCTGATTATTATTTAAGATAACCAAAGAAATCTACCATAAATTCACATTCACATTACTGCAAAATCCAGTGAAATGTACTAGAAAATCACGTAACTTTTAAGTGAAGCCAATTTGACGTCCATCGGTACGTCCGATAAAATTTACGTGAAAATCACTTGATTTTCATATGACACATTTGAAAAAAAAAATATATTCCAAAACACGTAATATTCACCTGAAAAGTTCGATGGAAAATATCTACGTGCCTTTTCAGGTGAATATTACGTGAATTTTATTTGCAGTGTACACCATAAATTTCAAACACCACGTCAAAATCAATCCTCAAAAAATAATTTGCAAATGAACAAAAAATGCCCACGAAGACTTGTAAATGCTTCACAATAAAATAAGGGTACCTATGTACTTATTTTGGAGGCAAAATATTAAAGGATATTTTATTAATTTGCATAACCTCGAAAATAAAATGTTATAGTATGAAATTTACACATTTTGGACCCTTTCACTTCATTTGGGACATACTGAATGTGAACGAATATATTTTGGACACGCTGAGTTCATTCAACTAAAACGAGCTACTACATCGTTTTTCGAGTAATTTAAAAGTAAAAAGTTATTATGCGCCTAAAATTGATTAGGACAGACCATTTTTCCTATCTCGCATTTGATATGTTTGTTCAGGATATACAATTTTCAAAGAAAGAGGCGCGAGGCTTTGTCCCACCCACGATTTCAAAGAGAACATAGTTAAAACCTGAATTAATCTTCCAATGATAAAGTCTTACCCTTCTTACTAATAGAAATTCCGACTAAAGGGCTCATACGATGAATTTTCATGTGATTTAAGGTAACGCATGGTCGGATGTAGCCAGTTGGTGTGCTCTGATTATTACTACCCTTGAAGTGGTTTTCGAATTCTCATGTCATTTCTTGGCACTCTTGTCCCACAGTAGTTTAAAAAAATATTTGAGATGACATTTTGAAGAAAAAAAAACCGTAAGCATCTTTTGACGAGATTTAATTTGAATTACATTGCTGATTTATGGAGGCCCTTTTTTACCTTTTCGTGGTTCGTTACTGGCATTAAGATCTACCACCGAAGCCTAGCCCGAACTACTTCAAACTAGGGAACAGAATTGTTTTGTAATCAAAGGAACACATCTTAGTCCTTTTTACTTTGTATGCCTTGTTGATAGTAAAAATACTCGGCTTTGTCCTTGAAACAAGGAAAAAATGAGTTAGGTAGCTATTTTTCATCTACGTGATTCCTAATCTTTTATTCGGTTTTCTCTAGTTTGAAGTGGTTAATACTAGGATGCTGATGCATGTATTTTTATCTTTATCTTTCATTATTAAAGAGACTTTCAGCCGTCGGTTGGTTCACTGATGCATGGTCATTATCGGTGTTATTGCTTGATTTTGTTACTAAGAAATCCGTTTTGACTGCAAAAGGGGCGCGCCTTTGGAGAGTGTTCCAACACTCCAAAGGGTATTAAGAGCGGGACCTTACAATTAATAAAGTAGGATCCTTGCGATAAAGGCAAGAACGACAACTTGAACTGAAGACGGTGTACTAACTCCTATAAATATCTACTATTTGGCATATATAGAACAAATAGAACATACAATTGTTAAGATGGCACTCTTGCCCCACCAGACCCTAATTAATACTCTTAATTCTGGAAGATCGATTTTTTTAGATCCCCGACATGCTAAACCGGCATACTATGGTTTGAACTCATTTTCAGATGCCATATTATTTGAAATCATTTCATTGAAGCAGACCCTCAACTATGTAGATTAATTTCAATTAGCGACGTCCATCAATCTACCTGTGCACCAACTCTCAAAACGTAAACAATTATCAAAATATTGCTTGCAATGGGTAGATATCGAGTAAATTAGAAGATTAAGCGTATTTTTCAACCGATTCGAGTAAGAATACGGCATTAAATCTGATTTTGAAAGTTGGTGCACAGGTAAAACGTTAGGTTACGGGACGCCACTGTGTTGAAAATAACAAATTCATCAAATTCATTCATCCGTAAACTAAGCAAGTTGATATTACCTGAACGATCCTTCTATGATTTTGTGCCACAACTCTGTACAGAATTCTGTGGTGATAATAGTCGAATTCCTGAAGCGGTCTTCCTGCTCGAAGCATAGTAATGCACAACAACAGGAACGGAATGCTTCTAATTGAGAAGGCAGACTTAGCTTCGGCTGAAACAATAAATAATGAGTTAGATAAAGCAAACAGTTTAATGCTTGGGGCATTACCTGAATGCTACTGAGCAAATTTAACATCGGCTGATAGTCATCTTCGCATAGGACAGCTGGACATCGCTTGATTATTTCTGCCAATATGATCAGCCACCGCCAGTTCAGTTGGGCAGAGTTCTCTTCGATCAAATCCATCAAACCTTGTAATCTATTCGCTCGCTTAACTCGTTTCACGCTGATTTCATTGTCCGTACCAGTTTGACTCCAAACATCGTCATTCCAAAACATCTACAATATAAGCATATTGTCTAGAACTACTTAATCAAGTACCTCACCAACATACCACATAGCACAACCTAGCAGCTAAGTCTATGAATCCTTCAACAAATGCCACTTCGCGTCCACCAACGGCGCTGTAGGTTGCAGAAGCATGAGCCTTAAGCTCACTTCCAATAACAAAGTAGAAATTACGCAGGCACTTGTAATACTCAGATTTATCCGCTGCGTGGAATAGATTCTGGTTGGATCTCCATTCCGTGAAACTTTTCTCCGGGTTGTGCACTAACACTGTTAGGTGCATCAACTTGAAGAGGACAGATTTCATCTCCTCATCCATTCTTGTTTCATACGCTTTGACCACCCGCTGCGATATCCGCTCGGTGAAACCACAGATCTCATATCGGTAGTCTACTGCCAACTGAAATATTTACAATCAACTTTATATCTGCACGTGTATGGAATGGATTTAACTTACACTTGATACGTATACGTAACCGATCCTTATCAAGTCGTTCTGCATTTTTCCTCGCTCGGATTCGTTTATCATCTTTGCCAGTCGACCGAGAAACTTTACGAAGTGACTCTGGACCGAACAATTTTCCAAGCTTTTTCGTATTGCCAACGAAAGACAACCAACAACGTTCTGCTTCGCAACTCTTCCATCGTCATAAAGCTCAAAACAGCGGTCTAAAATACTTATCCACTCGTCATAGGTTATCACAGTCAGATCCCACTTGGAGTTCAATACGTGCTTCTGTAAGACTTGTAGGTGGCAAACGCCAAAATACTGCAACATTGTTTGATCCCCCAGGACGTCCATCAAACGTTTGATTAGCTCGGAGAACTTAATCTGTGGCTGACTACGATTCATTGCAAAATCCACAACCTTTTGTATCACCTTGATGTAGATGTAACTCTTGCTTTCAGCTGAAGCTCCAGCCGTTGCGTTTGGCTCAATCATCTTGCGATTCTGCTTCTGCGTTCCATGGTGAGCAGCCTCCAACAGATCATGCCAGTTGGTGTCAAATTTTTCCTCCGCCATGTAACGGAGGATGTCCTCTTCACGATTCACCAGTATCAGTTCCAGCTTCTCGAACGCCTTCTGCCTTTGAGTGATTTTATCGGAACGCATCTCGGCCAAGATGCCGCAGAGATCGCGATCCAACGTGGACAGAGACGACATGGCTGTGGTGCAGCTAGGGGAAAAGGAAAAATTAGAATCGAACGAAAGGTCTGTTCTCGTACTTGCTTTTTTGTTTTTGTTGTAAGTTGCTGCAACATTCTGAAGGTTGCTGTAAGAAAATAATATGGTGCAGAAAGTACGGGTTTTGGATTGTCCTGTACATAATCTTACAGAAAAGCAAGTACGGGAACAGATCTACACGGAACGGAAAAGGTACCTAATATTGAGGTCAATTCACCCAGGTCGAAGGTTGCGTGCGGGAAGTTGATATTCAAGTAAAACTAAAAGGCTGGAAGTAGTTGTCATTCGCGCATATGTAAACAAACTACTTACTACTAACTTGTTTTCACCCAACGTCAACTTCAAGCTACCCATTAATAAGTTTCTGTTTTGCAATTATTTGACAACCGTTAGAACATGTTGGCACTATGTAGTAGTCTGAATGTACTATTATAGTACGTTCAAACGCTGTTCAGACTGAGCAGTTATAACATGTTATAACGGTTGTCAAATAATTGTAACACAGAAACCACCATCAAGATAGTGCTATAATATGTTATAACTCTGTAGTCTGAACGTACTATTATCGTTGTTTAACTTCTCACACCTAATAGGGGTCAGGTGGTATTGCTCTGCCTTTTTGACAACAAACGTAAGAGCGAATGAAAGGAACAACTCAAGAGTATGTTTAAAGAACTTAACCGTTGGGTAGTATTGTTTTTCCGTTTATAAGATACACACGGGGGGCTTCCTTAGGCCAGTCAGTTAAGGCGCAGCTATAAAGCGAGACCATGCTGGAGGTGTCTGGGTTTCGATTCCCGGTCCGGTCTAGGAATTTTCCGGGTTGAAAAAATTCTCGACTTCCTTGGGCAAAATATGATTGTAGGGGAATTGGGTGTAATACGCACCTGCGGATGTCATAGTATTATAGTCTACAGTTGAATCGAATATTCATATTGACACCTAAGCATTTACAGTGCAAGCGGTTGAACCAAAGCAATGCATCGCGGGGCGATCTGCAAAATCTCCAATATTATGGAAAAACGTTCTTATTGAAGTTTTCTCTTTCTAACCATAGTAAAGAAGCGATATGCTATCGTTTTGTAGCAAACTGTAGAGTTCAACTTTGTGTAGATTTTAGGCTATAAAAACCCACTGCAATTTCGAAATAAACCAGTTGTGTTGTGTAGTCTATTCAGGACAAGTACTTATACTCTCTACGCTCTTATTGGGGATTCTCCTGGGTAGTCCCCATTCGATACCTATCTAGCTGCTCATTTGGTGGACAGTCTCTCTCTCTCTCTCTGGAGACCGTTTAGAAATGGCACTCTAGTCAGTCCACCGCCGTCGAATCCGATCATCGTAAATTCGACAGTATTCCGTGCCTACGACGTGGCCCTACAATTCGAATCCAGCATGTTCGGGCCATCTCCAAGAACAAACAAGTGAGTGCTAGACTTTTTACGACACGGGGTAATATGAACATAGTCCTTTTTCATGTACCTTTAAAGCAGCAATTTATATAAAAAATTTCAATAAATGATAGATCAGCAGCCCATCTAGAAATCCTGGATGAAAAAGAAATATGTTTGAAAAACCATGAAAAAAGCTGTTGGTCATATTACAACACTTGGTGACTTCAATCTGCCAGGCGTTTCGTGGAGTCCATCTCATAGCGGATTCCTGTATCCAGATCCTGATAGCTCTACATTTCACGCAGAAGCTATTAGCCTTCTCGACAACTACAGCGCAGCGACGCTTTCTCAAATTAACCATGTAGTTAACGAAAATGATCGTAGTTTGGACCTCTGCTTCGTGAGCACACAGGACAGGGCTCCATTAATTTCCTCGGCTCCTTGTGCACTAACTAAGCTAGTTCCACATCACCCTCCTTTAATTGTCACTGTTGAGGACAAACTCGTGCGTGATTTCGACGATTATCCTGCTACGGTTTCTTATCAATGAGCTGGATTACCTTTGTACCTCATTGGTTTCTTATGACTTCCGTAAAGCTGACCACCGTTGCATCATAGATGTATTGTCTAGCATGGCATGGGAGAACATCCTTTGTCCAGATGACGTTGAGGCTGCAGCGCAAACCTTTTCACATGTCTTGGCATATGTCATTGACAGACACGTCCCGAAAAGAACTCACCACAAAGTGTCTCACCCTCCCTGGCAGGCGAGAGAGCTACGTAGGTTGAAGTCAATCAAGAGAGCAATATTGAGAAGTTTTACGAAGCACCGCACGCTTCTTCTGAAACTACATTATGTGAGGCTGAATCACATGTACCAGTGAGTCAGTCGTGAATGCTTTTCAAGTTTCCAACGAGGCATCCAGCGCAAACTTAAGGTACACCCGAAATCCTTTTGGAACTACGTGAACGAGTTACGCAGGGAATCCGGCCTCCCATCGTATATGGAATTCAATGGTGAAGTTGCTGCCACCGTTCAGGATATATGCCGCCTTTTCCGACAAGTTAGCCAGTGTATTCACTTATGAGATACTAACTGACGACCATATTAACCTGGCTGCCAGGAACGTTCCAGAAAATGCTCAAACGCTGGGTGCAATTGATGTTAATGCTGAGATGATTTCTAAGGCCGCGACTCTGCTCAAGTCATCCTTGAATCCTGGACCTGATGGAGTTCCATCCGTATTTTTGAAGAGACATATTGCGAGCTTGTTAATTCCGCTTCTTTGCCTGTTTCGAATGTCTCTCTCCAGTGGCATATTTCCATCTTGCTGGAAATTTGCGCACATGTTTCCCGTCCACAAAAAAGGAAGGAAACGAGCTGTGGATAACTATCGAGGAATTACATCGTTAAGTGCCGTTTCGAAGCTATTCGAGCTAGTGATTATGGAACCGTTGCTGCCCCATTGCAAGCAGTATTTGAGTGCTGATCAACATGGGTTTACTGTTGGCCGCTCTGCCAATCTAACCAATCGGCTGTGTCTCACATCGTATATAACCGAAAGCATGTCGGATCGGGTTCAAACGGACGTTATTTATTCAGACCTATCCGCAGCATTCGACATGTTGAACCATGCTATTACGATTGCTAAACTCGGCAGGCTCGGTGTATGTGGTAATGCTCTGAGTTGGTTTCGATCATATCTTACCGGTCGGCAACTAAAGGTTGCCATAGGAGATTGCAGATCTGCTAGCTTCTTCGCCACATCAGGGATACCTCAGGGAAGCCACATGGGACCGTTGATTTTTATACTGTACTTCAACGACGTGCATCTGGTCATCGAAGCTCCTCGGTTATCATATGCATATGACCTCAAAATTTTCCTACGAATCTGCTCCATTGCTGACTGTCACTTGCTTCAACGTCAGCTTGAATGTATTCGCTAGTTGGTGCAGTTTAAACAGAATGGTAGTGAACCCAGCCAAATGTTCCGCTATTACATTCTCACGAAAACAACAACCGATATTATTTAGCTATGACCTGCTAAATCAAGCGAAAGACTTGGGTGTGATCGTGGATTCGCAGCTTTCATCCATGCAACACATTGCATATGTTGTCGATAAGGCATCAAGAACATTAGGGTTCATTTTTAGGATAGCTAAAAACTTTACTGATATCTAATGTCTATGTTCTCTCTTTTGTTCGCTTGTTCGATCGACGCTTGCTTGAGTATTGTTCAGCGGTTTGGAACCCAAACTACAACAACGGTGCCGCGAGAATTGAATCTGTTCAACGTCGCTTTTTTCGTTTTGCGTTGCGTAGATTGCTTTGGAATGACCCGTTTCGATTATTTTTTTTTTTTCCTTTGGTTTGTTTTTTCCGTCGATCTTGTTTTCCGTGCTGAGCACCAATGCTACCGACGTGCCAGGAAGGCAGCTCCCACACCTGGACCCTACCTATCGACCCATCAACTCATAAACCGGAGACCAACGGCTTTACTTCCCATCCGAAGGAAGGCGTGATCAGAGATGTTATGCCTCAGAACATCCCGGCGGCGCCGACTGGGATTGAACCCAGGCCTGCTGGGGTGAGAGGTAATCACGCTTACCACTACACCACCAGCGCCGTTAACCCGTTTCGATTACCCAGTTATGAAAGCCGTTGTCAACTTATCGACCTAGAACTTCTCCGGACTAAAGGGTGATACGGTCAAAATTTGGTCAAGGGAAAACGCGTGTAAATCGGTGAAATCGTTTATTTAAAAAATCAAATTAAATTTCTTTTTCAAGTTCAATTAGTATAAAATTCAGGAAAAATATTCAGTTAGGCTTCCGCTTTTCCAAATCCGAATTGCCGGGCCTTACGCTTGACCCCTGCCATCAGATTTTGTACAGCCACCTTGTCCACCTTCTTCGCCGCAGAAAGCCAGTTTGCCTTGAACTGCTGCTCGCCCTTAGCAGTTTTTTTTTGGTCTTCTTTAGGTTCCGCTTGACAATAGCCCAGTATTTCTCAATTGGGCGGAGCTCTGGCGTGTTGGGAGGGTTCTTGTCCTTGGGAACCACCTGCACGTTGTTGGCGGCGTACCACTCCATGGCCTTTTTACCGTAATGGCAAGATGCCAAATCCGGCCAAAACAGTACGGAACAACCGTGTTTCTTCAGGAAAGGCAGCAGACGTTTATTCAAACACTCTTTCACGTAAATTTCTTGGTTGACAGTCCCGGAAGCTATGAAAATGCTGCTTTTCAAGCCACAGGTACAGATGGCTTGCCAAACCAGATATTTCTTTGCGAACTTTGACAGTTTCATGTGCTTGAAAACATCTGCTACCTTTCCCCTTCCTTTTGCCGTTTAAAACTCCTGTCCCGGAAGCTGCTTGTAGTCGGCTTTGACGTAGGTTTCGTCGTCCATTACCACGCAGTCAAACTTCGTCAGCATCGTCGTGTACAGCCTCCGGGATCGCGCTTTGGCCGTCGTATTTTGATTATCATCGCGATTTGGAGTCACAACCTTCTTGTAAGTCGATTGTCCGGCTCGTTTTTTGGCTCGATGCACGGTTGTAGACGATACACCCAGCTTATTTGCGGCATCTCGGAGAGAGAGGTTAGGGTTTCGCTTGAAACTACCGGCAACTCTCTTTGTCGTCTCAGCGGCTTCCGGTTTTCGATTTCCCCCCGATCCAGACTTCCTGGCTGTCGACAAACGTTCCCCAAACACTTTAATTACATTTGTAACGGTTGATTTGGCAACTTTTAGCGATTTTGCCAACTTTGCGTGCGAGTAGCTCGGATTTTCGCTGCTCTTCTTGCTTGGACGGCATTTTGACAACTGAAGAGTGAATTCCAAAATCAAAATAGGAGCAACATTCTACACACACACACCTTCAAAATGAGGGGTGTTCAGGTTTTTTAAATGCAAAATTGAAAGAAATACGTCAAGTTGATATTGACCAAATTTTGACCGTATCACCCTTTAGAAGAGACACAAGCAGAGCCCTAACCGTGGCCGATATCCTGCAAGGAAGGACAGATTGCAAGGCTATCCTGAGGCAAATTGACCTGAATGTTCAATCCCGACCGCTTCGTAATAACCTTATGCTAAGACTGCCTCGTCGCACAAATTATGGAGCGATTTGCGGACTGCAGAGAACATTCAACAGAGTTGCATCTGTTTTCGACTTTCATTTCTCCCGGCAGGAGTAACTGACTATGGCCCTTATTACCGATGTCACTTCACGGTGAAGTGGCCGGCGTTAAGTGCCAATAGGGTCGTAATAGAGCCTAAAAAAGAAGGAGAAACTACCCAAATTTCAGTAGGTTGCAGCTAGATTGGTCAAATTTGAACCTACCCAAAAATGGGTAAATGAAGTTGGGAGTGACAAGTTGACAAATGGACAAGATCTACGTGAATGCTTCTCGAAAAAATATTATACAATCGAACAACATGTGACGAACTTACGACACTCCAAAGTTGGTCTATCCCATTTAGTTGTCGATCAGTGAATTAAATAGGAATATTTCTTTCAAGCATAATAATAAGACAAACTATAATTTATTTATGTAGAGAAACAAAAATTTACTTGAATTAAGCTTTCAAAAAAACAAAAAAAACGGTACGCTATTGTATATCTTCTAAAATATTTTTGTGTTGCTTAGCAAGTTTAAAACGTTACAGAATTAACTATTTTTACAAAGTGTGTTGAAAGCATTTAAAGCTGCTATTTGTTTAACCTTTTTATTGATAATGTGCTTCACATGTTAACAATTTTAGACCATCTTTTTGACAATCCTATGTATAAAGCAAGAGAGAAGGGTTAGTAATTTCCATTCAGTGTCTTGTACTCGACTACAAAACACTGAAGTCTGCACATTGTAAACGAAATACGCGTATCTGTCAAGGATAAGCAAATAAGGTAGCGTAATTAAATGGAAATTACTAATCCTTCTCTCTTTCTTTATACATGTATTCCACTAAGACGCCCACATTAATCAGGATTCAATCCTATGTACATTTACCCATAGAAAAATAATGCAGTATCAGATACTAGCGATAAATTTTTAAACTTGGACATTTAATTACCGTTTACGCTTGAGAAAGTATAGATTACAGCGCATAATATGGAACAAATGTGGGTGATTGCTTGTGGGCATCTGTACCTATCTACAGCTAAGCAAATACGCAGTGGATGTTCAAAGGCAAGAATACAATGCTGGATTAAATACATTAAATAACTTTATTTACGGCTTGTGCAATATAATCTATTCGCAAGTGTCTTCGACACTGACTTTCTTACACCTCTAATGACTGAATAATACCTAACAGTGCGTCTTTATTCTCCTATCAGATTTATTTTATTTTCATTGTTCACAATAGCACTGGCTAGTTATAGATTTCTACGTGTATAACAGAATTTAACGGAACCACAAAAAATATCTGGTGCTTTTTGATTTTTCTAAAAATGTCTGGTGCGTTTTTATTTTTCTAAAAATAAAATTTTTGAAAAAATTTACATGTACGTAAAAACATTTTCTCTATCTCACCAGGTACAAAAAAAGGTAAACTCTAAGCAAAACCGAAAGGTCGTTTGTTTTTTATTTTTTGAGCGCGACTTTTTGCCATGAGTGATGAGATAGAAATTTTTTTTTTACTTTGAAGTCTTCTTTAGATTTGGAGAAAAAACGGATTTCCTTAGATTTCTGACATATTTTTCCAATATTTTTAGAAAAATCAAAACTTTCTTTTTCAGAGCGGTAAACTTTCCGTCAAAGAATTGTACAATAAGGGCAATACAGAGATGTCTATCAGATCTACGTTTGATCATGAATAATTAATTATAATTGAAAATAAATAATTGTTTTGTGCGGTTGGAATACCTTAGCATGAATCTGCTCAAATAGCCGTAAGGCTATTCGAAAATGTATGTACATGGTCATTGAAACATAAATACACACGTGCGCAACGATTCGTCAATATGGTTGTATTGCCTACTCCGGGAATCACATAAACTATTTACAATAATCACGATTGCGTGTATTTGCATGAAGCATTTTTTTATTTCTATCGAGGAATACCAAAATCTTTCACTGTGGCTTTAAAGTAAAACATACGCCTTTTAGCGATACAAGTGAATTTTCAGTAGGTAAACGTAAACTGTGTTAACTGAACAACAAAAACATGACGAATAAGTTAGGAAAATGATTTGAGATTGCTATTTGGAAACATAATTCGACAGCTACTAGCGAACGCTTGAATAGAACTATAATTTAAATCGATAACCATGTATGTGCAGCTGGATACATCTAGGTCGAACGCCATTAGAGGATGCTATGAACCCTAATCGATGTTCTCTCAAATAAAAAAAAGGAAGTGTTGTGACCGAAACACGACCGCATTATTGATGTAGAACTACGAGACTGTTTTTGTGCGTCAATTCAATAGTAATCACGAAATTAATGATTTATAAATTAATTCTAAAATCAACAAAGCTCGACCAACCATTAACTATCTCCAAAGTTTCTAGTTCTAGTTTTTTCTCATAGATGGCAACTCCCTCCGTGACTACCTCGCTAACAGTTGTTTCAGTATGGGAAAAATCGTTGATTCGTGAAATTCTCAACATCGCTTATATCTGCAACACGGATACTTCCAGTGTCGTACTTTTCGTGTAATCGAGCAAAAATATCCATACATTCTCCGATTCAAAACTATCAATCACTACACTGGGCATTCAACTACTCATCAACTCTTAAGAGTTACCAATTTAATTCGTTCAAACAAATCTGAAGGCCACTCAACTGGAGTTGCTCTTCTAGACATAGAAAAAGCATTCGACAGTGTTTGGCATGAAGGTTTGATTGCTAAATTGAAAAAGTTTAATTTTCCACTTTATATTATGAAATTAGTTCAAAATTATTTAACTGACAGAACTCTGTAGGTAAATTATCAAAATTCCAAATCTAATCGACTACCTGTTAGAGCAGGAGTTCCTCAGGGTAGCATTCTTGGGCCTATATTGTATAACATTTTCACTTCGGACCTCCCTGATTTGCCTCAGGGTTGCCACAAATCTTTGTTCGCTGATGACACAGGCATTTCCGCTAAAGGAAGAAGTCTTCGTGTTATTTGCTGCAGACTGCAGAAAAGTTTAGATATTTTCTCTTCTTATTTACAAAAATGGAAGATTTCTCCGAACGCTTCCAAAACTCAACTTATAATATTTCCACACAAGCCTAGAGCTTCGTTTTTGAAACCTAGTAGTAGTCATATAGTCACTATGAACGGAGTTCAAATTTCCTGGTCAAACGAAGTGAAATATATTGGATTAATACTTGACCAAAAATTAACTTTTAAAGATCACATTGAGGGGATTCAAGCCAAATGTAACAAATATATAAAATGTTTGCATCCTCTTATAAACAGGAACTCCAAACTTTGCCTGACGAATAAACTTCTAATATTTAAACAAGTTTTTAGACCGGCCATGCTTTACGCTGTGCCAATATGGTCTTGTTGTTGCACTACCAGGAAAAAAGCACTTCAAAGGATTCAGAACAAAGTTCTGAAGATGATTTTGAAGTTGCCTCCCTGGTACAGTACTACTGAGGTACATAGAATTTCGAATGTTGAGACTTTAGAACAAATGTCCGACAAAATAATTAATAATTTCAGGCAAAAATCGTTGCAATCCTCAATTGCAACGATTAATTCTCTTTATACTTAGATAAGATTTAGTTTTAGTTTTTAGTTTTAAAATATCAATTGTTATACTGACATGCAGGTTAAAAAAAACCTGTTTAAAATACTGAATTGCCAAGACACGAACAATGTAAAAATACTTGGATATATATCATAACAATTAAGGCTGGTAAGTTACTGTAGTAACTGGAGCACCATGGTTAAAATGAAATGTAATTTATTTTGAATTTGGAACAAATAAAGTGTTTAAAAAAAACTATATTTTGCAATACATAGTATATTTTTGACAATCTCAACCAGAAAATTCGGGATGCATTGTACACATTTAAGATTTTGTGCAATGCACACAATCCGGAATCCTACTAATTGTTGCATTACATTTTGGAGCATGACGTTCAACGATCAAATATCAACCACCTCTTCGATAAGGAGACCAAGGTTGACAAAACTGTAGATTAATCTGTGCTTCTACAGATTATTCGGAGTATTAAAAACCAAGAATCTGTATTCACAGATCATAGATTTTTAGGTTTTAAAAGATCACACAGATTTTTAAATTATGATAAAACATTCCAAAAATAAAACATAAGTTGTTTAAAAGACAACTTTTATTTTCACTTCAGAGCAATGTTCTCATCACCTACTCTTGTATCTACATATTTATTTTCTGCGATATAAAAAAAGTAGAATGAGTTTTGTAAAAAGTATTTATTTCTGTTGCGACACATATAAATCTCAATTTTAGATGGTCGATAAATCTGATGCTAGCAAGTCAATTTACAAAAAATCTGTTTTATTCTTTTGCATCTAAATCCACACTCGCATCGGTCTCCACTTTTTGCAGGAAATAAAATCATCATCAATCGTAATCCTATCTATTAAGCGCATATCACAAAAGCAAAGTAAAGTTTCCTGCATAGAGTCGCCCCCTCGCATTTTTGTCTAAGTCAATAGTAATTTATAACACATACATTTTTATTAGTTTCAGTTTCATGATCAGAAAACTCGCTTGATCACTTTGCTAAGAACATGTTTAATGGATTTAATTCATAAACTTTCAACACAGATATCATCACAGGTTTTTTTGGACAGAAAATAGGATAAAAAGATTTTTTGGAACAAAAACACAAATTTCCTTTTGGCAACCCAGACGGAGACTGACTAATGGTTTTCAATCTAGAGAAGACAAATACCCTGCACGGCCAATTAAACCAGCTCAAATTTAAGCTACGTTCACTCAAATTCGCAAGAACGTAGATTACTCATAGACTACTGAGTAAAAAATTTCTCGATTTTCTAGGAATCTAGAGAGGTTTTCCCTAATAAAAAATTACCATAAACGAACGATAATCCAAATAATTGAACTATTCTACAAATGATTTGGATGATACCCCGAACACGTCGTTAAGCGTCGTTAACCATAACATTTTTATTAGGGTTACTCAGTCTATTAGTATACACTCAGGTCTTTTTTACACCGGGTACTGCCCATCAAAGCATACCAGTCACAACCTTGCTTGATTTCCTATTCTAATGGGACTGTTATGCGTTCATGGATAGTATATGTACCGTGTTAAAAAACAACGAAGATTTCATGCCAATCGTATTTACAGCATGCTACGGTCCATGTAGACATATTTAAAAAAGTTCTGTATTTTTTTCTAAAGTATGCCTATGGCTTGAAACGGATTATTTGATTCGAAACAAGTAGATTGGTTGTATCGATATCGAGAAATCGTTAAAAACGTACCGTGTAAATTACGACTCAGCGGCACCAACCGTATAAAAAAAATGAGTGTATGTACTCCTATACTGTTTTTGTTAACCCCTTGCTAGCAATAGGGTCTCGGGGGGCTTAAGCCGATCTAAACCCTATGTATAAGGGGCCTCATAGCCTAGACAGTAAAAACACGGTATTACCAAGACGGAGGCGGGCGGGTTCGATTCCCGGTCCGGTCGTAGGAATCTTTCGGGATGGAAATTTTCTCGACTTCCCTGGGCATGCTTGCCACACAATATACAAATTCATGCATTGGTATTGGCATCGAAAGCTCTCAATTGATAACTGTGGAAGTGCATTTAGAACACTAAGTTGAGAGCACACAATGAGCTAATATGCACTAAGCAATAAGCTTGAAATGCGAATAAGAAGAAGTATTCCGATCAGAATCTACTGTGATAAAATTATCCATTCAAGCCACTGTTAGATTTATTTTAATAATAATAATATATTCTCAAATCCTCGTTCGTTTTTATCATCAACTAACTAAATTGACCTAAAATTAACTTGAATTTGTTTAATAGTCAATCTAAACTCGTTATCTCGAATCTCTTATTGGTTGTAATCATCAATTCAAATAATAATTATTATTATAACTTAAAATTATCAAATATCAAGTTCTAAAGGAAGGACTAAAAGAGACTTGCCGGAGCATGACTTTACAACCCTTTGTGGCAGTTCAATTTAATTTATTTTTATCATTCTTGTTTTGTTACTGTTTTACTCAAATCATTCCCCTAACTTTCACTCTTCAGCAGCGCAGCGTGCGTAACCTGTACCGATATAGAATCAAATATTAAATAAATACCAATTATTGTACTTTTTGTGTAAATGATTAAGCACACTTTAATGCGGCATGTGTTTATCTCTACCTTTACACTAGGTTTATAAAACAAACATATAAAAACGATCAGGATGTTGTCCTTCTTGGGTAATAAAAATGCATCAAATTTTGAAAGTTTGAGCCTCTTCTCAAAAGCCAACGAGCAGAACGAACTGGGTCCATCCTAGGGAAAGAAATGAAAGCCAAATTTCAACAAATACTCCAACATCTGCCGGCAGTATCACAATGTGCTTGACAGAACAGAGATGCCTCTACAATCTAATTTACCTTGCAATTTACTTCTTCGTCGAAGGCGTGGTCACATCGTTGCTCGTAGGATCCGCCGTGATAAATTTGAGGAAATCATTCGCCTTCACTTGCTGCGGAAACCGCTCCAGATGGACTCGAACGGTGCGCACAATATTGTTTTCCCGGTCGATCTTGATCGCGTGCTGCAGATTGCAACTCGGCGTTGACGTTGAAATCAGTTTGCTCACTATACCGGTTATGAGCTCCAGACAGTCAATCCACTTGCTAGTATCGGTCGGTGTGACTGTGTCGGGTGTTTTGGACAGCAGCACCTCCATTTGAAATATAATGGTAATTACGGAGGAGAGAAGAAACTTGCAGCTGGTTAGGAAAGTAAGGATTTTCTCAGTTCCAATCGTTTGGGACAGTTTCAGCAAATCCAAGAACTGGCTGTACTGAACATGTCGTTCGAATTCGGTGTACAGAGCAAATAGAACGCCTTCTTGATCATCGCGGTCCTTCTTCAGTAGGAATGGGATTGCAGAGAAAACTGTGCTCCATAGTGTCCAACGGGAAGGATGCTCTCTCAGCAGGACAAAGATTCGTCGGAGGAGAATCTTCCCTTTGCGTACACCTAGCGTCAATGTGACCTTGTCCTGAGTGAGACCACTCATCAGTACCACTAGCAGCTCGTCAGATGTGTCCGGTTCAGCATTAGATGAGATAGATACATTTTGAGAAGAATTGTCACTTTGCTGAGCCATGCGTTCCTTCTCTCGTTTTTCCTTAACTATCAAGGCGGCTTCGATCGCTGCTGGATTTGATAAATCTTCCATCTTGAGTACAACTTTGAATAAAGTTTCGATGTGTAGTAGAATATGGCGAGACTTTCTCTGCATGGACAATTCCAGGCTGGTATTGTTCTGATTGGACAATTCGTTCCCAACGACGTCCATGTCTATTATCTTCCGAGGCGCTGTTACGCTTCCGCACTGCAATTTTCCAAGCGAATTCTCAAACTGCAGCGGTGTATATGTGCGAGGTGGTTGATCCTTCTGTTCATTATTCCATGACTCGGAAATCTTCCGCTCGCGATTATAGCCGTGCAACATTCCGCAGTTCCTGGCCATAGAAGACATCAGCAAAAGTTGAGCGTGCCCTTTCGGTTGAGTGAAAGGATGATTCAATTGGTTATCCTTGTACGCCTTGCTTTCGTTGTTTCCTTTCAAAGCAGTCAGACGTTCCTTGTAGACGGTAAAGTAGTAATCGCTGATGTAAGGAGCGTCAGAATTCAGTTGAGTTAGCTGAATTCCGATAAGCCACTGTTTCTCGCGATTGGACATCAGGTTCGCATACTCGTCGTAGTCCGATCCTCTCGGAATGTTGCTATGCCGCTGATGATTGAGATTTTTATTATTATGCTGATTCTGACGATTGAAAGAAAGCATCGGATGATTTTGTTGAATTTCTTGAACCAACTTCTTATTAAACTGATTATTTTGGATGTTCTGAATTAGATTCGGTTGGATGGGCAACGGGATACGCGGAAACAGACCAAACTGATGCCCTACTCCAGCCGGAAATCCAGGATGCATCGCCAAATTATTGATGGGTGTAGAATAATGTGCCGGCAGGAAATTGTATGGTAAAAATCCAACTGGCATTCGAGATTGGTGATTCAGCAGAGGTGGAGGAGGAAACATTTGATTCCGGATTGCCAATAGTTGTGCAGAAGGCAACAGCGGCTGAATAGAGGGGTTAACTATTGGAACTGGGATCGATTTCTTCACTTCCTTGTTTTTCTGATTCTCCTGTAGAATCTTCTGCTGCTGTTCCTTCTCCTTTTTAATGTGCTCCTGCTGCTGTTGTTGTTTTTGAATTATACTCCTTTCGATATCCTCCACTGATAGCATCTTAATGGGAGGTTGCGTCGTAGAAAAATTCACTCCGAAAGGTCCAGCAAACTCATTTAGCATAGGAGTCGCTGGTAAACTTGGAAACATGCTTTGCACTTCATGTCTGGCCGGTGGCAAAGCTTGAACCGGCTGCTTCTTCACTGGGCTATCCCAAATACTTGGATCCAACCGCAGCCGACTTCTGATGTCTTCATCCAAACTCAAATCAGCTGCACTGCTGACGCTTTCATCTCCGTCGCCAAAATCAAACCTCGACAAATGAAGGTCTAATTCATCATCATCAAACAGCTCCTCCCTGCCGTTTTCAATGCCATCACTGAAACCACCGCCCTTCTCCAGACGCACCAGCGTTTCGTGCGTATTCTCCCAATCTCCTTTGTCTGGATCACCGAAAGTTTCATCATTGAGAGCATCGTATTCGCCTTCGGAATCGATACTGTGATCGCAACCATTGGTCGCTCCTGTCCTATCGCCGCGGAATCCATCCTGCTCGTCTACCGATGGCAAGCTGGTGTCGAAGCCGAAAAACGAATTCATTCCTTCCGATACAGTTACAGAATCATTAAACTCATTATTTCTTCACTATTTTGGCACTCTGGACTGTGCACTTGTTTCTCGGATTATTATCAAAGTTTAAATCAACTAAAGTTTTACACGCTTCGCAGATTGCTATAAATTTAATACCGATATAAATTCGACTGAAACGCGATTAATTTTGACATTTCATACACTGAGCGAATTTACCATGTCGTCATTGCATGATTAATCATTCAGAGCTATCCGATTTCTTTAACATCGAAAATAATATGAGATACCCGATTGACTGATAATTGACATTAAATGGGATGATTCATCATACATATAATAAAAGGAAATAACATCAACCACTTAATGAAGTACCGTTCAAATTTTGAAAGGTATTAACAATAAATGAATTCAAGAAAAGAAATGAACTAAAATCATCCAAGTGAACCCCATAACGAAAATCATACAACAACTGTCATACGATTCATTTTCATATCGTTTCAGTCTCCCATTGCGTTTTGGCCTTACCATTTTTTTCGCAGTTTGTTGCGTCTCTCTCGAATAGCAGTACACAGTTTTTTCGCATACCACGGGGAGTGTCACCAAAAAGCGAACGAGAAAAAAGTTTTCGGATTCATGTGGCAAAAAAGTATCTACTCGTTCCGTTCCCGTTTGATTCGAATGCTTCAGTGCCCGTGGATTGTTCGCGATCCAGCCCACCCTCGAGGAGGTGGTCAGCGACTTTGAGGAAAGCAAGTACCAAAACGCCGAATTGCCTCTTTCGTACTACGGCAAGTCGCCGAACGAGTGGAGTTTTACAAACTGGCCAAGTGGCCATCGACAGAAACGTGTAATCAAAACAACATCCGCTGGTTGATTCAAATTCCTAGACTTCAGTAAGTTACTGGGAGGGAGGTCCTTTGTTTCAAGCAATACGATTCTAACAAAACAAATTTATCTTCCAGTGATATCTTCAAGACAAACCAGCTGATGAGCTCGTTTAGCAGATTTTGGACAATATTTTCAAACTGCTTTTTGAGGCCACAAACAACCCGAGCCAACATCCTAAATTGCACAAGTTCCTACAGAACGCGATTGGGTTCGATTCCGTGGATGACGAGTCCGAACCGGCGAATCCACTGTTCGATGGGGACGCCAGGGGCGAGGCCGGCCCAGTGTAGCATTTAGTGTGGTTGTTTTATCATAAATGAATAAAACAATTGTTCAGCTTATAAAACAGAAGTGTTTCATTTACAACATTAATTAACAGTTCCAACAATTTAGAAGAGATATATTTCGTTATGATCACAATTTTTAAACAGTAAAATAAGCTTTCTGCTTCCATATATTTTTCATTCAGATTGCACTTATATTTCATTTAAACGTTGCATGACAATTTATTTTGAAACTGTATGACGAGTCCGTATCTATCTCAATGTTAATCATACGGTTTGTTCATTTCAAGTCTTCCTAAGAATGGATGATAATCATGCTAATGGTTTACAGCGTGCAGAACGAAAATCATCCTGTTTTAGAATTAATGCTATTTAGTTCTTCTGTGCTTTGAGAGCTGAATCAGAGAATGATAATCTTTCACAAATAGAAAAATAATCCGTATGGGGCTCAAGTGAAGCAATAATCATACAATGATGTATGGACAATTTGGTTCAGTGTACAAGAAGAGTGCACACGCGAAAAATAATAAAATACCTGCACGGTAAGAAAATAGTACTCAAAAGTAGGTTCTTTTCACCATCTCACTATCATATTGATGCAAATATTGATGGTTGCACTGGACTGCTCCAAAAATGCAAAAAGTGTGATAAAAGTGCACGTTTACGTCAAATCGTGTTGTTGTCTTCGGAGCACTTATTTCTTGCTCCATAAGGAATAAGTGCACCGAAGACAACAAAACGATTTGACATAAACGTGCACTTTTATCACACTTTTTAATAAGTGAAAATGCGCTTATTTGTCCAGTATGGTGGGAAATGCGTAATTTAACGAATATTTGATAAGCATATTGACGGAAAATCAAAAAAAGTTTGATTTCATGTTTCAATATTTCCCCTCTTTTCCCCCTAGTGTTTTACTACAGCAGCAGATGGGGCCTGTTCCTCAACATCTTTTGTCCAAGGGGGGGAGGTGGCTGTCAAATACGAACAATCTTCGCCTACCTCGCATGCCTCGCATAACTGGTTCCAAACGTAAACAAGCCATAAGAAACCTACAGCGATTGTTTACGTTTGGAGCCAGTTTCATACAAGAATGATCAGTAGGCTGATTTGACAGCACGTCCCCCCCAGCTTTTGTCACGGTGGTTGTGATTTGACTCCGAATATTCCATCGAATACAACAATGTTAGTTAGGAGCGACCCTGTATTGGTAAACCTTCGAAATTATTGTTGAAAATATTGACATGAACATATTGATGGAAATATTGACGAAACTTCTGTCAACTTCTTTACATACTTTTGACTAAAGAGCCTGAATTTATATATAAATTTAGGCTCTTTACTTTTGACTAGTTTGCCTCCTTTTCTTCATCTAATGTTGTCAAAAACGGAGGAGCAAAGCCACCTAACAGTAGTAGTAAGGGTTGATGCATATATTATGTCACGCTCTAAGGGGGGAAGGGGGGTCTAAGATTTTGTGACAAGCAATGCATTAGGTATAGGAAAAACGTCACGATAGGGGGGGAGGGGGTAATTTTTTGCTCGATTTAGCGTGACATAATTAATGCATGGGCCCTAAAGCAAGTGTGGGAACCCAATGTTGAGTATAATCTTATTGACCTACTTTTGGGTACAACCTAAGAAGAAGAGAAGACAATACATGGGTGAAAACGAACCACTTTTCTGTCAATTCTGGAATCGAGATTGGAATAACTTTTCCTAATGACTTAGACAGATAATCGATTTTTCCAATTTTGACAAGTTGTCTCTTTATAAATTCAAGCTCTTTAGTGCCGAGATGAGTGAAAGGAACTTATTTTTGGTTACTTTTTTCTTACCGATCAGTGAAAAATTTTATACGAATTGCAAACAAGCAAATTAAAACAACTTTTACCCTAGCTTTTACCCGTTTTACCTACTTTTGGGATCCTGCACTATAGTCGACCGGTGGAAACTAACGATTTAAATCTGGCTCACTGCTTGACTAGCCTATTGGTTCCAAGCAAATCGATTAACGTACCCCATTATAGTCGAAATTATAGTACTACACCATGTTTGTTTTGATTCGCTATGAAGAGTTTGACAAGTCTAATAAATAATTGAAATCTCTAATTCACCTAATCAATCATAACCCATGCATTATTAAGTACCTGTACGTGTTTCAAGTACTTTTGACTTTGACCTATAATCACAAACGAAGTGACAGACAACTAACTGGCGAAGAAATCAATTAAAATATGTGGTTCGCTGTAATAGAATTTTCTTGGAAGCTTGTGCCATCATCCACCAGATGGGATAGTATTTTTGTTTTGGTTTTGCACAAAGCTGATTTTGTGTACAATGACTCTTTGACAGTGTGGAAAGAGTGTATCATTTTGTCATTTTTTATGCATTTCAGTTTTGAGTAGAGTGAAAGATATCGAACCAAAACATTCTAGTACATTTGGTGAAAATGCTAGTTCAATCCAGTAGTAGTGTTGCCATGTGGTACAATCCAGTAGTAGTGGTGTTGCCATGTGGTACACTGAAAAAATGCAATAGCAGGTTAGTTACCAAAGTTTTCGAGCCGCTCCGTCTGTCACTTCGTTTGTGCTATAATTATCAGATCACCTTCACTCAAGCGCAGCGCTATTGTATATGTCGCTTGGATTCTGACAAAGTTGCCAGTTTTCTTGATATGATGTCTTCGCTAAAATGCTTCACTTTGAAGTTAGTTTCCTGCTGATTTTTAAATTATACAGGGTATATGCTCCAACTATGTTCACAGCCTTCCACTATGTCGCACCATAAATATACGTATGGGTATGTCACAATAGAACCACGCCATAGTGGGAATCCCGAGCCATAGTTTAAACACTTATCCCAAATCAAAATGAAGCTCGTATAAGATTAGTTACAATATCATGTACAAAAATGGTGTTTAACATTGTTCAATGCCCAACGTCGTTGGGGGAAATGTGGTATAGGTTTTATTCGGATTCGGTCATTTGGGGTAATGTAGCACAACCGGTGCAAATGCGTTAAAATCTTAAGAAAAATCAAATGTTTTCCTCCATTTTTGGGCTAATTTTAAAGTTTCGAGTATGCAAATCTACTTTATTTTAGGACCGGTGAAAAATAAATTTATCTAGTTTTCCACCACTATTCCGGCATAAACCCCATACCACAGACAAACAGACATAACACATTGAATATTTCGCACTGTAAAACATCGTCACTAAAACATTACCGCCATCTGTTGAGTATACTGTGGTGGGTAGTACCATAGAGGTAACTCTAAGACTAGCAGGTCCCGAAATAACGTGCTCAACTTTTTGGCTCAGCTCTGGTACTCTCTTCGGTCCCAAGCTAATCGATTCACCCCTCGAAACAAAGGAAAATCCACTAACCCCTCATTTTATCTGTCAAACTTTCATAGCGAATCAAAACAAACTATAGTGTAGTACTGGAATTTATACTAGAATGGGGTACGTTAATCGTTTGCTTGGGACCAATAGGCTAGTCAAGTAGTGAGCCAATTTAAAATCGTTAGTTTCGTATTGATTGTTGGTAGTACGCTGAACAGATGGCGGTAGTGTGTAAACGTCAAACGCAAAGGAATTAACTATGCGCGCTGCAGGTGGCAGTACTACCAACTAAGATACTTTTAAATTGACCGTTAAATGCATGTTCGATGAACAACTTGCGAGTGTTATGTCTGCTTGTCTGTGCCCATATCGCAACTATAGGTACACGGCGAATGAGTACGACCCAAATTTGAGTTTAGTTCACTCATAATCGCCAAAAGTGCAGGAACTCAGCGATGAGTAAATTTGTCCCATGGTTTCCTGTGGAAAACCTTAAAAAAAACTGCCGGAAAATGAGAAAAATTTTATTCAGTCTCGGAATAGTACCAATAAACTGAGTGAATCCAATCTTTACTTTTCTCAAATTCGGGAATTTTTCCCTGGAAAAACCTATGAAAACATGAGACAAATTTTACACATCGCTGAGTTCCTGCACTTTTGGCTATTATGAGTGAACTAAACTCAAATTTGGGTCGTTTTCATTCGCCGTGTATACAACTATTACTGGAACACCTACCCTATCAAGAGCAAATTTTCATTATGTCGTAAGTAACATTCGCACCGATCCGAGAAAAATAAAGTTTTGTTTTGATGACCGAAAAGTTATTCCTATTTCCAATTAAACACATATAATCTCATAGTGATAGCCAGGCTTGCAATTGCTCATTACAGCTAAAATGCTATTTTTCGTAATTATGAAACAATGAGATACTAAAATGATAATTTTTATTTGTAAGATGCAAGAAGAGGTGGTAAAGTTTGTGTATGACTTGTAAAATTGGTCAATTTTGCTTTCAGAAGGTCAAAATTAGCGATTTTATTGCTGATTGCTCGCTCATCGCGTTGCTCATCGTTACAGCTAATCGCTAGTTGGGACCTTCTGAAAGCAAAATTGACAAATTTTATATGTCATACACAAACTTTGTCACCTTTTCTTGCATCTTACAAATAAAAATTATCATTATAGTATCTCATTGTTTCATAATTACGAAAAATAGCATTTTAGCTGTAATGAGCAATTGCAAGTCTGGTGATAGCAATGTTTAACATATTCAGCCGGGTTTTAATCATACAATGGCAAATCGCTAGCTTTTATGCTAAGAAATACTGGTTTTTGAGTCAAAAGTTATTATACGTCGTTTGGTGGCCCCTATTGTTACTTAAGTCAAAGTGTATTTACCAGGATATTCGGGAGAATTATCAATTACGTCTCCTTACGTGGAGCCCATTCATCATTTTAGGACTACCGAAATCAGCTTAGCAACAAACAGTTCGATTTATTCACTTTAATAATGAGAAAGCGAAACGACGAACGTACACTTTTCACGGGCTTCTCAGCGCTGTTACTTAAGTCAAACGGCATCTCCATAGAAATTGGGTGACTTAAGTAACATTGAAAACTATTTTGATCGAAAGGTGATTACGTCAAAAAGCAATTTGACTGGTAAATAAATTTAAAAATGGGATTTGATCCTATATTCGGACAGTATATAGTGTAATAGCAGGAGAATCGATTGACACTGATAGCTCGACTTTGTTTACCTTTGTTACATTCGACGTAATGAAAATTTGCTCTTGCTATATACTTACCGTCCCGTTCAGATGCGTAAAAATCTCCAAAAAGCTTCCAATATCACCGGAAAAGACTACACTACTCCGTCCAGAATCTTTGTTCTCCTGCTATAGTATCCAAGGTTATATCCAGCATAAAACACTACCAACACAACTGTGCCTCAAGAGTAACACTATTGAAAAATGTTAGAAAAAAAACACAACCGATTTTTGTCTGCGAATTATCCGAAAAACTTTCAACGAAAACGCTTCTGATCACTACTTGCGTGTTTTTGGTGCTTTGCTCAGCCAGCACAAACAAGAAACAAATCGGTATAAACAAAAATAATTCTAATGATTGATTACACCTGATTGTGATTGCCGCGGATATTGACCATTCTGACGTTTATAACACACACACTTGCATAATCCCATTTTCAAGTGTGAGGTTTGTTATCCTCATTTTCGCTCCAGCCAAAAATGTTGCTTTGTAAATGTAATCCTCACTTTCGGACTATTAATACAGAGGGCTTTAATTAATACTCATGCGCATACAAGGTCTACGCCAACAGGCAGCTTGCTGGTGTTAGAAGCAAAAATGTTGTAAACATTGCTGAACATCTGCGAACAGATAGAAATACGTCACTACCAACAGAGATTACTGACGTTTATCGTATGCACACTATGTCACGTATGCGTATAGAGATTGCTGACGTTTATCGTACGCACACTACGTCACGTATACGTATACGCAAAATGTTTTCATCGGGAAAAAAAACTTCATAGCGGAAAATTTTCCCGATGAAAACAAATCACTGACACAATCATACTTTAGCAATCTCTATACGCAAAAATTTTGTTTTCATCGGGAAGAAAAACTTCATAACCGAAAATGTTCCTGTTGAAAACAAATCACTAACACAATTACACCTTAGCAATCTCTATACCTTATATAAACGTCATTACACTCAAAGATAAATTAAATCAAAAAAGCTTAAAAAGTATGCAGATTCCCGCTTCACCTTATTGAGCAGTAGTCATGCATGATTAAATTCGAAATAATCTTTCCAGTATTAAATTTTATTCTTTTTCAATACTGATATATAATCAAAAAAGATTAAAATTCAATCAAAAATTATTAAAATTGAATCAAAAATGATTAAAATTTATTAAAAAAAAGATAATCTACAATCTAATCAACCATGATTAAACTGGGATTAATAACAATTGCTTAATTTTTAGAAAGAGAAGATTAATTTTTAATCATTTGATATGAATAAACTGAGTTTAATGTCAAATTGATTAAATTTCAAGCAAAATGGGAATAGTTCAATGTATCAATATAATTATTATACTTACTTTTCATTTAACAGAAAAAACAGCTGTCGACAACGAGGGCCTACGAAATGAAAAATTATCACGCGAGGTATTGGTGAATCGAAGTAGAGGTACACTCAAAAACATTGCAAAACAAAGAAAGATTCAAATTATTTTTTTTTAATTGGGTTAAAATCTTGATTTAAAAATCGAGATGAATGTCTACGGGATCGATAAAAATATCGTTGTGCTCAAAAAACGAAGCTCTATCAGATGATGTACAAAAATTGGTATATTTTTCGAAGTTAAACAACGGGTTTTTTTTTTCAGTATACACAGAAAAAAAAAGTTGTTGAATATTACATCCAAACTGCTGCAACCAGGTCAATCCATCGGTTGTGTAATATAACGTTGTACGATGTACATAGAACTAAAGCACAACAATCCTTATTCTTATTTCAAACCTATCAACATATTTAACACACCTTTCCTAAAACATTACTTATTCGTAAGCGCCTGATTGAAGATATGACTGCTATTGACATTGCATGTAATTAACAAATATACTGAATAGAAAGATTTATTATACAACTCTAAAGGCTAGTTGCCTCCCTAAGCGGACCCCCGCGTCCTATCTCTTATGTTAATTAACTTTCTGAATTCTCTAATTGAAGTTAATTTGATGATTATTTAGTCTCATTTAATAAATAACTGAAATCTCTAATCTACCTACACAACCATAACCCATGCTTTTAAACTAAAATTTAACGTGTTCCAAGTACTTCTGGCTTTGACATATATTAATTATATCTTTGTTCGTCCCAGGTGACACCTTGAAGTGACAAAAATGCTTCACTTTGAAGTTAGTTTCCAAGCTAATTTTAAATTGTTTATTGTATAGGGTAAATGTTCCAATTACGCTCTCACGTTTCCACTATGTCGCACCACAAAAAAACAAATGGGTATGTCACAATAGAAGCACACCACAGTGGAAATCCCGAGTCATAGTTCAAACACTTATCCAAATCAAATGAAGCACATATAAGATTAGTTACAATACCATGTACAAAAATGGTGTTTGGGTCGTATGAATGCTTTTCGTACGGGAGAAGTAAAGTAAACGCTTTTATTCATACGACCTGTTGTTCCCTGAGTAATTCCCTTGCAAACCCAAATAAATCTATCTGCGTAAATGAACAAAATAAGAGTGATTTGCGGCAAAACCCGTCAGGATCGCACCCAACGTCAGTGCCTATACGTAAGCGTATTACGACGCGGCTCTCAATCAAAGGAGTAACAAGTGTGATACTATCACTGCTGGACTAGATCTTTGGTTTTCTTATGCAGTGGTTCATCAGAGAGGGGAAGCTTAGTAATCCCCATCGCCTGTCCATGGCGCCATTCTATCGCGGCATGAGCCAGCAACGCCGGCCATAAACCAACCGTCTCCAACACTCCACTAAAAAGTATGAAATTAAGCCCGCCCACCACCAACAAGGTGCAAAAACTAGCCAAGGGGAGGGTCTGAAGTTTTCTTGAAGTTCCTGAAATAATATTGAAGTTATTGTAACTGTCAAGCGGCGCCGCTGGTGTAGTGGTAAGCGTGATTACCTCTCACCCCAGCAGGCCTGGGTTCAATCCCAGTCGGCGCCGCCGGGATGTTCTGAGGCATAACATCTCTGATCACGCCTTCCTTCGGAAGGGAAGTAAAGCCGTTGGTCCCCGGTTCATGAGTTGATGGGTCGATAGGTAGGGTCCAGGTGTGGGAGCTGCCTTCCTGGCGTCGGTAGCATTGGTGCTCAGCACGGAAAACAAGATCGACGGAAAAACAAATCAAGAAGAAAAAAAAATTGTAACTGTCATGAAGTTCTCCATTCTTCATCAAGTTCGCGAAACGCTGATCTGAACGTAAATTTTTATGGATGCTAACAAACAACCCGAAAGAACTAATATTCATTTATTTTATATTGAATATAATATTTGAAAAAGTCTATTTAACATGATGAGTACAATATAATCTGAGACAGCAAGCGTTTTGTCTTTATCGTTGGTTGCTTTATGTGTTAGGATTCGCTAATTGTAATATAACACTTTGAATGATGTCCAATTGGAAAAGGTCGCGTCAGATCGATTCATCATTTGACGTGGAACTGCTATCTTGATGAGTTAAAATGATTGAAATCAATAAATGAAAAAGGGACGATCCATTTATTATGTCACGTTAAATTGAGGAAAAATTACTCACCCCCCCCCCCCCCCCCCCCCAGCCCCCCTTTCGTGACGTTTTTCCTATACCTAATGCATGGGTTGTCACAAAATCATAAACCCATCCATCCTCCCCCCTTAGAGCGTGACATAATATGTGCATCAACCTAAAAGGATATTTCGAATAAATTCATACAGAGTATACATCCGAACTGATTAAATGTGCATTATAATAATTGTATAAGTATGGCATATAATAGGTATAAAATATGCAACGATGGATAACAGGTTATTTCTTTTGTAAAGAATATTTTCGTCGTTATCCACACAATATGCGATTTTATGGATTCTTGAGTGCAATTCTACCAATCCTTTGTGCGTAACTCTTCAATGTAAGATTCTGTCAAAAATATTGTAATCAAACATTCATAGTTTGTTATCATGCAATAGTATAAAAGTGGAAATTAACTTCTTTTTGGCATCTATGTAAATCACTAGCTGTTTAGAAATCGGGCACCGAGTGGTCCATTTTGCCCCTAATGAACGAAGTGGATATTTTTTTCATCATCACATCGTAGATCATAGTCGGGATTACTGTCACGGTGATGATCTGTCCACCAACCGCAATCAACTGGAAGATTTCCTTATCCTTCATCCCAATCACATTCTGTCCATTTATTTCGAGAAGCTGATGCTCTATCAACAGTCCATTGCGCGCAGCAGACGAGTCTTTTACAATAGCAGTGATCTTGCCATTGCTAAACTGGAAACCAACATTTCCCGAAGAATCTTTATGCAAAGTGACGGCACGTTCGAATGGGCGGTCACGAACCACCAGGGAGATATTATTCTTGTCGCTCTTCTTGAGCAGTTTGTGAACGTCATCCACCGAATAACCGGCAACCAGGGTTCCATTAACCTGCAGAATTTGATCTCCAAATCTAAGACCAGCCAATGCCGCCGGACTGTTCTTCACCACGAGGCATACAAATACTCCCTTATTGATGGCTTGCGCCCTTAGACCGATCTTCTTATCCGAATCTTTGCACAGAACCAGCTGCAATGAACCAAAATATCTTTAATGTGAGCTGATTCGTCAATCTCACAAATAAATTTCATTTACCTCGCGTATTCCGTTTGTCACTTGCGCACGCTGCAATCCTACCGAACCTCCGGAGACCGGTGCCACCATGTTGGCATTGTTGATGGTTGTGATCGGGGACACTTCCGGTTGATAAGCAACCATCCGAGCATCCCGATTTAGATATTCAGGCATGTTGGCAGCAATTACTTCGCGACTCAGCTCTAGCCCCAAATAATCTGCCAAATCCGGGTAAACAAAATCCGACTTCTTGGCTGGTTCTTTGTCACTACCGCTGCTGGGAGCGGTTGCAGCAGATGGCAACAGATTATTGAGTAAAGCGTACGGATTCGCCGTGTAAGCCGGAGGTGGGTCCTGCTGCACATTGTACAGCTGTTGTTGTTGTGCTGCTGCGTTCGAAATGGCAGCATTCTGCGATTGCAGGATCTTATCGACCTGCATATCCTCGAGCGACGGGTACAACGACATTTTGAAAGAGCTATTAGAAAAAAAAAACATTATTGCAATTTTAATAGGTTTTTGGTGGGATTGTGCTACATTACTCCGAATGTCGTTTCCCCGAATCCCATAAAAATTTATATCCCATCACTTCAAATGTACAAACACCGAGAATTAATACAGATACCAATTCTTGAATACTATAACTCTTTACAATTCGATTTTCAATGCCATTCGACATAATGGACGTTTGACTTTAAAAATGGGAACGTTTAAATAGTAATATAAAAACATGCAACGAACGATATATTCTCTTCTTAAATAACATATTTGAAGAAGTAATAATTCCCTTCTTTATCAAAATATTCAACGAAGGATATTTACCCTATTTTATTTGAATATATAAAGAATTGAATCAAAATATTCAAAGTAGAGCTCATTCCTTTCTTTTATCAACATATTCGATAAAGGAATTATTCCCTTCTTTATCAAATTATTTAAAAGAAATGTACCCTTCCTTATTAAAATTTAAACTTGCACTACAGTGTTTCAGAACAGCTAGGTTCTTAATCGTGTGCAAAATTAAACATAATTTCTTAACAGCTGCGGCACTTCTTAACCTATTATTTATCGTCAGTTCTTGAAGTTCTTGAGCGCTGATTTTTTGTATGAAGGTGCATCATGTTCCAGAGAATCATCGTTTTGCAATCAATTCTTTAAATTTTTATTCACGTCTTGACCTTGATGCGTTCCGAAACCTTCAATTCTCCTATGACAGATGGTTTACTGTTGCACTGTTAATAGAGATTTTCCCTTCTTTCAGATGATGTATACAAACTGATAAATTTTTCAAAATAAAAGAACAAAAAATGGGAACTAATTATCCTCGTTTTCCCATAGTTTCCGATATAAACTTCAAAGCGGGAAGGATCGCACGTGATTTAGAATCAATTTAGCTGGGTGGAGTAAAATCGATATTTTGAGCCACCCTAGTATATATTAACCGTAGACAATCATCCTGAACTGTCTGTGGTTATGACCAACTTATGGCACTTATGGTGACCAATCAATCTGGAAATCAAGCTGAACAATGCATTAGGCCCTAAGTAACAGTGACAGATACCTTCGTCGACTGTATTTTTACATCTTCACGGCCATGTTAAGGCATTCCCAGATATTTGCAGCACACAGATCGACGAAAGAAACTATTATCTAGCTTCTAATACGACAAACACAACAAGAAACTGTTCTGTGCTAAGTTATTAACGAAAGAGAAAGTCAATGAAGAGAATCGATCAATGTTACATAGGACCTAATGCATTGTTTGGCTCGAAATCTTTTCTCAATTTTATTGAGAAAGATTTGGAATTACGCTTAGGTTTATGAAATTATTGAAAGATAGAAGTCAGATGCGCTGAGGGGCTGAGAAAATCGGGTCAATACTGTAGTCTGTTTCGCATACCAATCTTAAGTAGCCAAGTTCGGGACAATTAGATTAGAGAGTGACTCATGCACCTGAAGTAGGATTTAAATTTCCCGTGTGTTGCAATCAACTGCAAAGCAACTAAAGCGAAATCAACCGGTGACCGGTTAAATTTCAACGGGGAACTGCGCTACACTAGGATGTGAGCTACGCACGAGCCCTTACGGACAATACGCTATGTCTTATATTCATTTGATTACTATAATCAACAAGCCAGCCAAATAGATAAGGAAGAATAGGAATGTGTGTGCTAGCTTAGTGCTTCCTTCACTTCATTCTGATAATGGAGCGCTGTCCATTTTGTTAAAAAGTGCTTAGTTCACACACAAAACAGCGCAGACACAAGAGAATAAACAGACCATCGCGAAATCTGGAGCAAAATACCGCTCACCAAGGTCAAACAAAAACTACTTCTGTTTTCAAATTTAAAACAATTCAACAACTCTTAACTAATGTCGTTTTCGTTTTTACTTTACTCACCTGAGCTGGACGACAAAGAAGTTCTTTGTTTAACAGTGGAGAAGTTGTTTCCAAAATTCCTGGCTAAGTAGTGTCAGAGGTTGCTTCCCAAACAGTGGAACTTTCTTTCTTGATAATTTATGTTGTATCGCAAACTACCTTTCAATGTTTTCCGCAACTTTGAGAAATATCGTGGATTGCAATGTGAACACCAGATAACTAATAATAACTCTTCGAGTGGAGTTTTTAAAGTCTTGATCACTCACAGATTTTCAGCTGTTTTTGCGTTGATTGGATGATTCATACTACGAGTGAGCGAGAATAAACGAAGCAGAATCAGTCCAACGCAATGTAAACAGGGAACACAGGGGAATTGGTCGTCTCTTTCGTTCTTTCGCTATTTAACTGGTAAAAGGAGTGTGACGTCAAATTCTCAAATTGTTTACATACACATCACCGTTTAAAGCGCAAAATGCAAAAACGATAAACGATATTGGCGTTGACGGCGACTTTGTAGCTCTTTACTCCTATGGTAAAATCCGTAAGCAAACATCAGACTGTGCGTGGAACATGGCGGACTTCGTACTATCCTTTCACTCCATCGAGAAATCCCTTAAGAAACTGTCAATATTTTCTAGAAGGGACGATTTTTCGACGGTGCCATCCAATGAGCTGGATTACCGAGGTGAAGCAATCGGTTAAGTTGTGTGAGTAAAACCCCTGTACGATACAAGCAATTAGTGACGTCACTACTTGCGTTTACGTTGATTTTTTGGATTACTAATACAACCATATTTCACGATCTGCTTTACCTCTTTCTGTATGCTTGGGTGCCGTCAACGCCAATAAACAAAAAGAAATTATAAAATAACAACTACGCATCAAGGGGTCCAGCAAAACTCAATGAACCGTTTGAAATGTTTCAATGCACACTACACTCAAAAATAATAGTAACACACTTTGACTATATGTTTTTAGTATTACTTCTACGTGAAGTCAACGATTCACGCAGAAAAATGGATTTTTGTTTCAGGGCCTAATGTATTTTGTTATTGATTCAAACATATTGTATCACTATTTCAACAAAACATGTTTTTGAATCAACAAAATGGTTTTTAGAATCAACAAACAGATTATTGACTCTACAACCGGTTTGTTGATTCAAAAATATTTTTCTTTGAATTAACCGAATAATATATTTGAAACAATATCTAAAATATATTAGGCCCTGAGTCAAAAATATATCCATTTGAACTTAAAACCCATTTCTCTGCGTGTTTACATAGTTCAAGATGCTAGTTTCAAATAACAGACTGTAGTGGTAATTTTTATACGATAGATGGAGTAGATGAAAGCATAGAGTTGATAGTTCCGTTAGAGTACGGCAGTGTGAAGATTGCATATAGATATTAGAATAGCGAGCTAGAACAACTTTTAAGGAAGGTACAAATCGGTTTTTTCATCTCTCTTTACGAAACTTCCCCTTTGGAGAGGGATGGTGAGGGGTGTCCCCCCCCCCCCTCGCCACCACTGGCAAAAAGAGATGAAAACCGACCCGCTCAAGTACCAACTGTGTGTTTGAAACAGTTCTACCGATTTTTACCGCACTTCAGTTGTTATTTGAAGGAAGGCATCCAGTCGTAGGTTTGGAAATTGTAACTATTGTTTACCCCTACCACGATATGTGCTCCTGTCATCGTCGACTTGACGATCTCGAGGGGACACGGGTGGGGTAGGTGCTGCTACCATAGAGGTAACTCTAAGACCACTGGGTCCCGAAGAAAATCATTATTATTTTTGGCTCACTCAGTACCAGAACAACGGTCCCAAGCAGTCCCAAGCTATTTCACTCACCCCTGCATGTTCTGCATGAATCCACACACCCCTGATGTTATCTGTCAAACTTTCATAGCGAATCAAAACAAACATAGTGTAGTAATAGAATTTCAACTAGAATAGGGTACGTTAATCGTTTGCTTGGGACCAATAGGCTACTAAAGTGGTGAGCCAATTTAAAATCGTTAGTTTCGTATTGATTGTTGCTGCTACTTCATCTTTTGACCGGATCAGAAACACCACAGTAAACCGCGTCCAGTCATCGATAAAAGTTGTGAAGTATCTGTCACCATCCCAACCAGTTGGTGTTACTGGCCCACAGACATCGAAGTGGACCAGCTCCAGAACCCGACTCGAACGTCGCTCCTCTCGCAGAGTGAATGGATTTCTGGTTTGCTTCGCTGCCATGCACGGTTCGCAAATAACCGAAGATTTGTCACCACTGTAACCCTTCATGCCTTTCACCATGCCATTCTTCATCAAGCTCGACAGGTTCCTCTCGCCAAGATGGCCGTAGCGGCGGTGCCACAATTCCGTCGCCTTGCAAATCTTCCCCGAAAAATATACAGCATCGCACTCATCTTGTGTGTAGAAGTTTAACACGTAGAGTTTCTCGTTCCTTTGACCAGTAGCCACGACCACCGAATCCTTCAGAATCTCAACCTTGCCTTCTTGAACCACCACCTTCATTCCAGCCGATTCGATTTTGCTAATCGAGAACAAGTTGCATCGATAGTTTTATTGCCGATCACCGACACAACGGGAACGTCGTCGGCATATTTTGCCGTCACCCATTCACCACTCTTCGCTACGGCAATCTTCATGGGTTGGTCGAGCAGCTCCAGCTTCGAGAAAAGCTTTCTGTCGTTACAGATGTGTTCGGTGGCCCCCGAATCAATAAACCATCGGATTTTGTTTTGCTGGCACAGCGACGCTTGGCTATCCGTGAGGAACATCACACCGCTTTTCTTACCCTCAGCAACGTGAGCACTAGACTTACCGGAGGATTTGTTTTCAACTTTCTTCCTCTCAGGACAGTCAGCAAGCTTATGTCCCTCCTTCTGGCAACCAAAACATCTGAAGATTTTCTTCTTTTGCTTTTGTTTGCGACCTGCACTTCCAGAAAACGCCGCCGAGTCGTTCTTCGCCTCTTTAGCATCTGATGCTGCTCCTTTCCGCTTGATTTCCTCGTCGAGAAGACGGCATTTTACCATAGAGGTAACTCTAAGACTAGAAGGTCCGGAAATAACGTGCTCAACTTTTTGGCTCATCTCTGGTACTCTCTCGGTCCCAAGCTAATCGATTCACCCCTCGAAACATAGGAAAAACCACTAACCCCTCATTTTATCTGTCAAACTTTCATAGCGAATCAAAACAAACATTGCGTAGTACTAGAATTTTGACTAGAATGGGGTACGTTCGAGATGTTACCACAAAATTACGAAACTAACGATTTTAAATTGGCTCACCACTTTAGTAGCCTATTGGTCCCAAGCAAACGATTAACGTACCCTATTCTAGTTGAAATTCTATTACTACACTATGTTTGTTTTGATTCGCTATGAAAGTTTGACAGATAACATCAGGGGTGTGTGGATTCATGCAGAACATGCAGGGGTGAGTGAAATAGCTTGGGACTGCTTGGGACCGTTGTTCTGGTACTGAGTGAGCCAAAAATAATAATGATTTTCTTCGGGACCCAGTGGTCTTAGAGTTACCTCTATGGTATTATCAAGTACTAAGTATGTGAAATTACGATAGAAATCATTCCATATCGCAGTCATAGTTTTTAAGTGATAATCCAATGGAATCTATCAATCATCACATAGAATGAATAAATATGCTGACATTGCTATGTTATAAGATGGATCCAATAAACGGTACATGTCGATTTGTTTCAGTGTAACCACCAATTCGGGATATCATCCCAACTTTATGTGGGATGGTCGTACTATCTATGATATAGTTAGAGTATGGTACCCGTTTATTAGGGTTTGATTTCGATGCTGATGTAGACATCAAAATCAAACGTTGGGCTAATGTAAATTTCTATTCGGGAACACCACTACTACTGGATTTTAACACGTGGCAACACTACTAATGGATTGTACCACATGGCAACACTAAATGTACTAGAATGTTTTGGTTCTATCTCTTTCACTCTACTCCAAACTGAAATGCATAAAAAAATGACAAAATGATACCAATGATACACTCTTTGCACACTGTCAAAGATCATATTGCACACAAAATCAACTATGTTCAAATCAAAACAAAAATAATATCCCATCTGGTGGCTGATGGCACAAGCTTCTAAGAAAATTCTATTACAGCGAACCACATTATTTTAATTGATTTCTTCGCCAGTTAGTCGTCTGTCACTTCGTTTGTGGTTTGACATTTCTCGTTTACTCAATTTTTGACAACTCGATACATCGGACGAAAGTGAGTACGATCGACTCACCTGGTGAGTAAGCAAAAGTTAGCGTGAAAAGTTTTTGGCGAGAATGAACTGAGAAAATTTCTTTCAAAATTTCTCAAGTGTAAAATTGTTTTTGATATTTAATATCAAAAACAATTTTACACTTGAGAAAATTTTCAGGTAATTTTTCAAGGGTTGCAAAATAAAATCGGTTGATTCCACAGTACCCAGGTTTCCTTTATCAAAGGACCAAAATATGGAACATCCACAACTATAAAAAATGGTGCCTATCACGACGAGCTTCACAATTTACTTTGTAATTAAACCATAAAGTAATAAATTTTCCAGGAGTGTCTGGTGCCAAAACTGTAGATTTGCGAATTAAACTTTAATCATTATGCTCCATTTATTATGTGATTTCCTTTATTTACCCTCCGACAGGTAATTTATTTTTCATCATCGTTTCCACACTCTAATAAATCTGCTTACAATAACGCATAAATAAAGATACCGTCCGATTTTGTCGGTATCAAACCAATCAAACCACTGCATAAAAATCTCTTTATCCTGAAATGGTTAAATTTGAATCTATCTATGTTGAGTCATATTTTTGTGTGTGCATGAAAACTTGAACAACCTCACTGCCCGTTTTGCCCCATCGCAATCAGCCGGTTAGCTGTCAGTTTTCGGTCCCGTTTGATTGACAAAAGAAAAGAAAAATATCGTTCGTGCGTGCTTCTTGCGTGGATATTTTCTATTTTTGTTACAAATTTTATGTTTAAGATTCAATGAATATCAAGTAGATAATACCGATTGTGCGAAAGCTGTATAGTGTTGGCCAAAGGCAGCTACCCCAGGGAGTTTAGAAGGATTGTTTACTACCAAGCGGACCGAATCCTCCATCGCTGTAAAAAAGCGACCTGACCAAAATGGATGTACGCACGATCGAAGAGGCAGTTCTTGCCTTCTATAGAAGCGGAAATCGTCAGCAGGAGGACACCCACCAATGGTTGCAGCAAATTCAGGAAAGTCCTCAGGCTTGGTCCTTCTGTTGGGAATTGATGCAACTAAACAAACCGTCTGAAGTTCAATTTTTCGGAGCCATCACACTTCACTCGAAACTCACGAAACAGTGGGCTGAGGTTCCGAAGGAGGCACATAATGAGTTCAAACAGAAGCTGCTGGAAAGTATAGTGCTTTTTGGTAACGGTCCCAAAATTGTGCTGTGTCGGTTGTGCATCTCGGTAGGGTTGAGAGAGCATAGTTTGGGTTGAAAAGATGTTTTAATGAGATTGTGTTTGTAATTTCAGATGAGTGTTTTCATAGTACATATGCTGGAACATCCAACCGTGATTGAGGAAGTAACGGGAATGTTTTTGAACGAGCAACTCGGAAATTTGTCCAAGAATACACAGCTGGAGATTCTGATGTCGGTACTCGAAGGCATTCCAGACGAGGCGGAATCCGTTCACACCCGGATACCGCGGTCGATGGTTCGTGAGGAGCTGAACAAGAAAGCAGAATTTGCTACGGGTACGGTGATTAACTATCTCAGTGAAAAGCTTAACAGTGGTCGGATTGATGAGAGCGAAACCAACGGGTTGATAAATGCCACGAAAAGTCTTGCAACGTGGCTCAAGTACGGGAACATCCGGTTGGACGGGTGCGAAACAATGGTGCAGGTTCTGCTCAAGCTGGTACATTATTGCTACTGGAAGGAACCCAAAGATGATGGGTGTCTTTCCCAGGAAGATAGCGATCTCGCGGAAACGGCCGTAAAAGCTCTGGTGGTGTGTATTTGAGTGTGGAAATTATCCTTAGGAGTTGTTAACACGAGTTTTTCGTTTTAGAAAATAATGAGCTCTCAACATAGTAACGGGTACAAGTATTCCTCGACTGTCATTCGTTACATGCACCTATTCTTGGATGTGCTGAGTCCTATCCTCGATGTGGAATATAAGGAGAACAATGAGAACGAAAATCTCGCATTTGTCATCTACACGCTATTTCTTTCGACGTTGGAGTGCTACTCTACGGTCATTTTCGCAGGTATCCTTTCCGATGACGAAGAGCTGGTTAAAGTATACGGGAGAACTGTAGATCTATTGGTAAAGTGCACGGACAAACCCGGAACTTATCCGGTGGATGAATCGTGCAGTACTTTGGCAATGGAATTTTGGTACTTGTTGCAAGACGAGGTACTTTCCATGCCAAGCGATGAGAAGAAAGTGAAACGATGGGAAGCGATCAAACCAGTATACGTTCATATAGTGAAAGTTTTAATTAAGAAAAGCCAGTTGCCAAATGAAAAAGCATTGCACAAGTGGAATTCCGACGACTTGGAAACGTTCCGATGCTACAGACAGGACATTGGGGACACGTTATTGTCCTGCCACGACGTCTTAAACGATCTTATGCTGGATGTCCTATCTGAAGCTTTGGATGAATCGATCGCGTATCTCAATTTCGATCCGCAAAATACCGACAATTGGCCCCTGTTAGAAGCGACCATCCATGCGTACTGTTCAATAGCACAGAAAATAGAATATGCCGAGTATCCACAAATTGTGAAATTGCTCAAAGTATTAAACGAAATTCCCTACGAAAAATACAGCGAAAAGTTGCTTGGAATGGCTTTGGAAACTGCGGGAGCCTACAGCGATTGGATCAGCGATAATCCCAAGTATCTCCCTGCGGCAATCGAGCTGCTTGTCAGAGGTCTCAGTTCATCACAAGCGTCCCAAGCCACTCTGGGTCTTAAAGATCTTACCTCCGAATGCCAAAAGGAAATGGCACCATTTGCTCTGCCCCTGCTGGATGCATGCCGCGCTGCCCTCCAAGGAAACCATTTGAAAAATTCGGAAATGATCCGTCTAATGTACACCGTGGGCAACATCATGAGTGTCATTTCGTACGAGAACATCCTGCATTATCTCGATCTTATGGTTTCGCCCTGCTTCGAAGAACTCCAAATGAATGTGCAAAATCAGAACACCAGCGATGCCGCCAAGGGTAGAGTCATTCTACGACTCGAAATGATTGCCAAACTGTTCTCGTCTCTTAACACGAAGAAACCAGCAGGCCAGGAGGAAGACATTCCGATCGCACGAGCCCAGCCACCACCACAAACGCAATCGCCAGCGGTGCAACCGATTCTGCTAATTTTGGAGAAAACAATGGTCCTTCTGAAAACCTTATGCACCATGTGGCTGCACGACGAAAGCGTCATAGAGACCTTATGCAAAGCGCTGCAGCAAGCGCTTACCAATTTGATGGAGGACATCAAGCCACTGCTGAACGACATGTGCTGCCTGATATTGCTCATCTTTGCCAACAAATGTGCGCCTTCCGCTGTCGAGATGGCCGGCAATGTAAGAATGTTTTGCATGGTTTAATAGACTTAGCCAATCAATTACAGGTGGTTTATTACTTTCAGTTTATTCTCATTTTCTACAATGATCCCGAGAGCAAGGGAAGTATGAAACAACTGTTTACTGCTATCATGGAATACAACTTTGGACAAATGCAGGTGAGTGAGCGACTGGATTAACTGAAAATGTAATTGTACTTAACGTTAGCTTTTTATATAAAAAAAAAGTATTGAACGATGCTCCAAAGAGTGATCCATACAAATCATACAAATTTAAACATAATTGTTACTGGCGCAATTGGCTTAAGCAATGACCACCAGTACGAGTAAGCTGGAAATGCTCGAATCGTCTGAATGAACGCCAAAAATGAGTTCACACGTTATTGTACTTTGTTTCGAGCTCTCATTGAACACGCATTTAACGGTCAATTTAAATCTATGATAGTTGGTAGTGCCAGGTAGTTCTGAGCAGAATCCCAAAAAAAAACATGAAGAAAATTCTTGGAGCATTCCGAGGAAACTAAAAAAAAAAAATCTACGGGAGTTCGAGGCATGATTTTACGGGTATTTTAGTAAAAAAAAACGCTTTCCTCTGTTCGGGACCTAACACCACTGCGACCAGTAATTTGGTCTATTGTAGTATATCCCGTGTCTTTAGTTTAGTGCATGTCGTATTACTCCATCACTATTGAAAAATGATAAAGTATTCGATTTTTTTACAGTTGTCATTCTTGCATTTATCGCAAGGATCCGACTCTAATTGAAAGGTTCCGCTATTTATGCCCTTCGGAGTGTTGGAACACCCTCCAAAGGCGCGCCCCTTTGTCAGTCAAAATTGGATTCCTTAGCAACAAAATTAAAGAATGACACCGATAATGACCATGCATCAGAACCCTAGTCTTAACCACTTCAAACTAGAGATCAACGAATAGAAGATTAGGAATCACATAGATGAAGACTAACTAACTCATTTTTTCCTTGTTTCAAGATCATCCTCGATGGGCAAAGCCGAGTCTTGTCACTATCAACAAGGCATAAAAAGTAACAAGGACTAAGATGTGTTCCTTGGATTACTGAAAAATCCTGTTCCCCTAGTTTGAAGTAGTCAGGACTAGGAATCGGTTGTAGATCTTACATTCCGTAACGTACCACGAAAAGGTGATCTACCCACCTTACGCTTTGACAATGCGAAGAGTTTAAGGTGAATGTTTAGCAAAATTTCAAAATAATTCGGATTATAATTTAAAAAAAGGAAAAAAGTCTAATTAGCCGATGGAAGCCACTTCTACATGTAGGAAGCCACCTTGAAATGTATGGTCTTGGTAGTTTTGAATCTGAGAATGTATGGACATTTTTTGTTTTTGCTCGATTACACTAAAACTGCGGCACTTTCCCTAGTAGTACTGCTGCAAGTAGGGGCCACTTCAATGTCAATTGCTTCAAGAGGGTCTTCACAGTAGGAAGCATTGCCAGAACAATGCTGTTTACAATACTCGGGAATTCGGGAGTGAAACTAGGGCTAATAAAAAGCACGTTTGTTTTTCTCGTTCACAACAACTCGACTCGTTTTATTCATTGTGCATTGGGCGATATCATATTTAGAGCAATGGGCGCTTCTGCGCAAATTATCGATTATTATTATCAACATCTTCCCCCCAGTTGGCACGCAGTGTCCAACCAAACCCCTAGATGGAGCTGTCTTCAATAGGCAAAACGGCGATCCTTCCAATCGCTCTCTTCACTTCGCCGTTTGCTGTCTGTATGCTGACTACTCGAACGATGTTGTCTGAGCCGGGGTGAGTCTGCACAATCCGACCCATTCGCCATTGCTGCGGTGCCATGTTCTCCTCTCGCAAGACCACCAGCATTCCCGGTTTGATGATCAACTTCTCCTTGTACCATTTACCTCTAGGCTGAAGTTCATTGAGGTATTCCGATGACCATCTCGCCCAAAACACCTGCTTCTGCCTTCGGAGATACTGCCAACGGGATAGCGACGAAACTCTAACTTCATCATAGCTCGGTTCAGGAGGCGCAGTGAGCTCGCGGCCCACCAAAAAGTGAGCTGGGGTCAATGCAGTCAAATCATTCGGATCGCTCGTCAACTGAGTCATCGGCCGCGAATTGAGTATGGCCTCAATCTGTACGACCACTGTTGTTAACTCTTCGTACGTCAACGATGTTTCGCATAGCACCTTCTTCAGTAATGATTTGGCTGCCTTCACTCCAGCCTCCCAGATCCCGCCGAAGTTCGGAGAGCGGGGCGGAATGAAAGACCACTGTATCTCTCTCACCTCACAGAATTGGTTGATTTTCATGGTAGTCTGCTGCGCTTTAAAAAGTTCGTACAGCTCTCCCAACTCGGACTTGGCTCCACGGAAATTTGTAGCGTTATCCGAATGAAGCTGCTCGGGTGTACCTCTCCTGCCGACAAACCGCTGCAAGACAGCCAGAAATGCTTCTGTTGTAAGGTCAGAGGCCACCTCCAAATGTACGGCCTTTGTGCACATACAAACGAAGAGCGCGACATATGCCTTCACGCGACTCTGGCGACGACCTTGCTTGATGTAAATGGGACCTGCATAATCAATTCCGGTTCTAGCAAATGCCGGAGCGGGCGTAACACGGTAATCCGGCAAGTTTCCCATGAACTGCTGAATTTCTGGAGGCTTCATCCTGAAACATCGCACACACCTCTTCACAACTTGACGCACAACGTTCTTACCTCTAATCGGCCAGTAACGGTGCCGAACGATGGCGAGCAGTCCTTGCTGTCCCACGTGCAAATGTTCCTTATGCAGCGACTCAATCAGTATTCTCGTGACATGATGACCGGATGGAAGCAGTAGCTGATGTTTTCGTTGAAACGGAACCTTTGCATGCTTCAGTCGACCACCAACTCTCAGCAAACCGTCGGTGTCAAGAAACGGTGCTAATTGTAGCAGCTTACTCTTCTTTGTCTTGTTATTCTGCAGCATGCTTAGTTCATCGGCAAACTCTTCCCGCTGTATCTTCCAGATGATCTTCGACGTAGCACTTCGCAGTTCAGACACCTTAAGAGGCCCAGTTGTTCGTTGGACCTTCTCCTTCATCCGGCAGTTGTTTGCGAATCGGTACAGGTAGGCAACAACTCTCTGCAGTCTTCTGAAGCTGCTGTACCTTGTTAGCAGCTCGTACGGTTCAGTGCAGACGACTACTTCGCAATAAATGGGACTCTTCAACTCCAGTTCCTCGTGGCTGAATGTGGGTGGTTCGGGAGGCACGTAACAATCTTCATTCCGCTGGAGCATCACAGGACCGTTCCACCAGAGGTTCGAATGCTGTAGATCCGATGGTGTAACTCCTCGGGAAGCCAAATCAGCGGGATTGTGGTTCGTGCTGACGTAGCGCCACTCGTACTCATGCGTCAATTGATTAATCTCTCGAACTCTGCTGCCTACGAAGACTTCCAGACTGGCATGCGACTTATTGAGCCAACACAAGACGATTTGGGAGTCACACCACAAAACTACCTTATCGACCTCCATATCGATAGCCTTCAACACACTCGTCACAAGCCGTGACAACAGGAGGGCGCCGCATAGCTCAGCTCTTGGTGCAGTATAGGGCCTTCTTGCTTTTTTGCTCCCAGGTTTAGTAGGCAATGGGGTTACACGAGTCTTGCTGCTGAGTAGATGGATTTCAGAGGTACCGCCGCTTTTCAAGCTCCGCAAGTACACACAAGCTCCATAAGCCTTCTTACTAGCATCCGAGAACCCGTGCACCTCGAACGATTTGGCATCAGCTGCTACTATTCTGCGGGGGACTCTGATCTCGTTGATTTGCTGCAGTTGATCCTTGAACCGCCTCCATGCTGCCTCTAGCTCAGTAGGAAGGGGATCATCCCAATTCAACTCCAACGACCACAGCTGCTGAATGAAAAGCTTCGCTAATACCGTGACCGGCTCCAGTAGACCAAGGGGGTCAAATATCTTCGCAGTATCTGACAGTACGATCCGCTTCGTGTAGTTTTCTGGAAATTCACTGTTGCTCTGCATCCGAAAGAGGAACACGTCAGCCGACGGATCCCACAGGAGTCCCAGGGTCTTTATTACATCGTTGAACTCTTGGTCTTCAATTCTTACTTGCTGCTCCCTGTGCTTCTCCGGAATACGTTGCAGCAGTTCAGGAGCATTTGCGCACCACTTGTGGAGCTCAAAGCCTCCCCGTTGCAGTAGTGCAATGAGCTGCGACTGGCACTCCAATGCTTCTTCAAGACTGTCTGCTCCGGTTATTACGTCGTCCATATAAAAATCCTTTTTCGCCACTCGGGCTCCAAGCGGGAACTCCTCTTCTTCGTCTATGGCGAGCTGCCTCAGGCAAGCGGTCGCACAGAACGGTGCACATGACGTGCCGTATGTCACGGTCTTCAACTCGAAAACATCCAGCTTTGCCTGTGGATCTTCTCGATACAACACCTTCAAATAGCACGTATCTCTATCATCCATCCGCACCTGCCGAAACATCTTGATCACGTCCGCAGAGAACAGAAACTTGTACTTCCGGGAACGTAGCACTATCGCTGCTATGGTATCTTGAATCGCAGGTCCGATCATCAGCACGTCGTTCAAAGAGACGTTGGTATCCGATCGTGCCGACGCATCGAAGACTACACGCAATTTGGTTGTCGAACTCGAGGGCTTCACGATAGCATGATGTGGTATGTAGAATCCAGTGCTACCGATGTCTTCGACTTTGACGCAGTGTCCCAAACTTATATACTCGCGTATAAAGGCGGAATACTGCTGCTTGAGGTCGGCGTTCAAGTTCAGCTTCTTCTCTAACTGATAGAACCGCCTTTCCGCCATGGCACGTGATTCTCCAAGCTGATCCAAGTTGTCCCGAAAAGGTAGTCGCACTACGAAACGGCCTTCTTCACGTCGGTGGGTCTTGGCGAAATGCTCCAAACATTGCTGATCTTCCATGTTGCCTTGCGCTGATTCCATGACTTCCTCCTGATCCCAAAATCGCTGCACCAACTTTTCCAGATTCGACTCCGATGATTCCAGGCGAGCTATATTGGATACCGCTACTGTACGCTGAATGCTCGTAAATGCACCGCTCACGATCCATCCTAGCTTGGTGTTCCACAGCACAGCTTGACAATCCTTGACCTTCAG